TGCTCGCGCTGCTCCTTCTAAGACGAGCGAGGGTCCACTGCGAAATCCTGGAGATGGTCGGCTAGACGTCGCAAAGTACGGGGTAATGGAATCGAGGGCTTTTTTTTTTCTTGTCTCCTTGGGTTGCCTCCAGCGAATGGAGCTGCCCTTGCCTTGGCCCCCCCTCCCTCTTTTTTGATTTTCTCTCCTTCTCTCCAGATCGCCAGAAGCTGGCTGCTCGGCCCTCGGCCCCCAACAGCGCTTTGCCGGCTCTTGTGTTCGCCTGATAGTCGCTGTGAGAAATCGGCGGCGGGTGTGGTCCTTGCTCGGATGGAGCCGTATCGTCGGCGTCGGTACGTCTGTTTTCGTTACTCTAGACTTACCTAATCCCTCGTCGGCAGTCCAGCCAGCAAGAGCAAGGGGGGCGTATCCCGTGCTATCGGAGGCTGCTCCATGGCTCGTTGGCCTCTGAGAGCCCAAAAGTCAAATTGGATCCAAAATAAACCTATACCCCCTCCCCCACGCGTGTAAAAGCTGCGCGAGTGCAGGGCACAGCTAGCCAACAAAACCAATAGAGCGGCAAAATGGTACTTGTACATGACTGCCGTGCTCCGTCCTCTTTTTCTTGAATAGGTTAAAAACACGGCCATGCCCCATGCTCAAAAGGCGCCTCTCTCTGCTCCCTTTCTGTCCCGTCAGCATCTGTGGTGTTTGTCTTCTCTTGGGTCTGGGGCCGTCGTCCTGCCACATGTGTGACGGGAGCGCCATGCGCCGTGAGCCCTGCTGAGCCGGTGTATCTCGCTTGTCCCTCTATCGAGACGTGGTGAAAAATGAGCATCAACGACCCGGCCACAGGTGACGAAGGGCCAATATCATCAACGACAACAATGGCGATAGAGGCTCCTGATATCCAGGCCCAAGCCCGCGGCCCTGCATTGAAATTACCGCCGCTTGTCCTCGACAGTTCAATGCCAAACCCTGCAGCCGTCATAGCTGGTCGTTCCATGCACCAGATCCAGCTAGAGATGGAATATGACGCTGAAGAGAGCGACAACGATGCCGATCAGGGCCCCTCAATACAAGGGTGGCCTGGAGGCTTGGAGCGGCACGCCAGCGACCACCCAAGCGAAACGGAGGATCTAGCCATGAGAGAAATGCATGCCCTATGCGTCTTTGACGACGTGTCAGTGCCGCCATCCGTACGACCCTGGTCGTATCTTATTGAGGCTCTGAGCCCACTTCCTACTGTGCGCAGATGGGGGAGATGGCGATGGCGCGGAGAGCCTGCATTTGGCGAAGTTCGAGTGGCAGAGGCAATCATGATGTACGAGAGGGGGGTTGAGCAACGCACCAGCAACCGGCGCTGTGGCCGCTGCCGAGCGGGCCAGGGCATCTCTCCTCAATGCGTCGTGGCCCCCGAGGGAATCGGCCAGGCGCCTGGCGTGACGGGGCCATGTAGCAACTGTCTTTATGACGGCGTCGAGCACGGCTGCAACGTGTCTGGGAGGATGACTCCGGTGTCAGGGAGCAGAGATCGAAGCAGCGAGAGCATGAGAGACCCAGACAAGGTTGTGGATCATATGGCTGTGCTCGAGCTGATTGCCCAGCTCAAGAGACCCTCTGGAACGCGACGAGACCATAGTCTCCCGGAGCGAGCACGGCGGATCGAGGCTGCGGCCTTGCAGATTGCCCAAGCGGCACGAGATTGGCGGGAGAAGATGGGCGTTCAAAGCTGAGAGAGGCTGGAGTGGTAGGTAATGAGGAGGAAAGATGGCGATTTTTGGCCTAATAATTGGCCATGTCGGCCGATATCAGCTTCTATGTTGGCGTTGTGTTGGTATTTGATAGGGATGGGAATAGGCATAGGCATAGGCATAGGCATAGGTACACATATATACGAATGGTAATGAGTGAACGAGCAACCGAACGAATATTACCTACCTTATAGGTAGAATCATTGGTTTCATGGGAGGGGGACTGTCCCGTCCCCGTGCATCGTCTTGGATATCCCCTCTTCGAATCTTGGCCATCGGTTGGTTCGTCAATATGCAGCCAAGTAGCACCCCGGAAAAGGCCCTGGCTAGCACGACGCATTATATTCCGTATTGCATTGAAATAAGTCACAAGCCTGCGCGGCTGTTTCCTTTTCCAAAATGAGCCGAACAATACATCTTGTGAGCGGTCGTAGAGGGAAACATTGATGCCGAAGCAGAGTGCGTCTCTAGAGGCATTGGGCAAAAGAAAGAAGAGAAATGCGAGCTCATCTGGTCTGATAATTGAAGGCAGGTGCGTGCAGCATGGTTGCCAGGGTTTCGGGCTGGCCGCATGCATGTATCATCATATGCTCTGTGCTGTGAGTGCTGTGAGTGCTGCTGCAAGAAAGAGCGAAGAAGCAAGAAAACAATATGCTGCTGATTGTTGCTATGTAATCGCAAAAGGAGAAATCAAAAGAAGAAGAAAAAAGTAAACAAAGAAGGAAAGAAAGAGAAAAAGGAACAGAAAATGACAAAAGAAAAGCAGATGTGTGGAAACAAAGAGTACAAGGGACGAGTCAAGCCTCGACCTGCGGCGTGGACGTACGGCTGCAGGCCCTGGTTCCATATCTAAACTCCCCGGTCTCCTTCAATCCTCCATCTAGGCCTACCAGGGTCTCATTGCGGGAGTGGCGCCCTACATGTTTGATTTCCTATTCGGATCTCCTGTGCTCAGCCCAACCACACACTCGTCCACCGAGCAGCCACTGCTAGCCGGGCCATGCTTGTTGCCAGAGCCTGATCAAGGCCAGGCCGCCACAGCGGCCGTTTGACTTGGATGGCTGCTCCAGGACGGCCTCGGTGCCAGAATGGGCAAGAGACGTCCAGCTACGCCCATCCGCCTCGGCCCACGCTTACTGCTGGCAAATTACGGCTTCCTGTATCAGACGCAGATTCTCACATCCCTCACATCCCTCACATCCCTCAGTCAGATTTACGAGCGTTGGCTGACGCAAAGCGACCGCACGAGGCACCGAAGCCCATGTCTGTGTGGTTTGCAAGGATGAACGGACGATCAGCCAGCTAGGGAGCACCGTACATCCGAGCCTGAGCAAAAGGATGCCTCTGCATAGCAATGCGGGGACGAGGCTTCAGTCGGCATAACCAGGCTCGACTGTTTCTACCTGTGCCGCTTGCGAGGAGTAAACTTGGCCTGATGGCCTTTCGCCAGAGCTGACATACGGGTTCCCAGCTCCACAGCTGCTATAAATACTTATCAGTGATAGGACTATCGCTCTCAAGCAGGTATCAATAGAGGCCAAGCTGATAGGTGGCTGGGCGCGGAAGATGAAGCTGGGACCCAACTCTGTGCACAATCATGTCCATTTCAACGCACAATCCATGGAAAAATGAGAATTGTAATCTTACTTCCCTTACTTCCCTTACTTCCCGCACTTGCCGTATCGCTGTGGCATTGTGGCGACTGGATAGTGGAAAAAGGAGAAAAGAAGCAGGGGGATAGATAACAAACGTGGCAAGGTATTCCAAGTTTCGCTCTTCAGCTTACTTGTTATAGAAAGATCCCAGAGCTGATGAATCAAGCATCTCTTTCCTCGCAGGACGCCTTGGTTTGGAGTTTCGAGACTGGAATAGGGAGTCTGGACACTGAAATAAAAAGACATCCAGTGACTTGCGATAGGCGCCGCTATTTGATAGCTAGTGGAGCCCGATCCGACAATACCTTGCGCCCATCTTCGAAACTCGGCCTAGTCTTTTCCATGTTTAGCATCTCTCTGTGTTTAATGCTCTCGATGCGGCGGAGCACCAGTCGTTGGCTGCGGCACCAGCCGAGAGCCATCGCGCCAACCTTTTTCATGCACGAACCGCATCTCCACACTGCTTACAAATGAATCGACATCATCTTGCGTACATGCACTGCTGAATGGCTTCTTTGCCCTAATGTCGATGTACACGATGTTTGTCTTTGTGCTGCATCCGATCCGATGTTCCCATATACATCTACAGGGAGCGCGTTCTAGCGTGATCCTCCATTCAATGCCAAGATCGTACCAAGATTGGGCTAAAATTGGAACTATGCCTATGCTCTGTACCTAGCCAGAGTGTTCCAGACATAGGATTGAACTACGGGGCGCTCAACAATGACTGAAGCTTTTGAAGTATGTGGATGAATGCTGAACATTGAAAACAATGGAAGCTGTAAGAGTAGAAAAGCAAGCCCCTTTGTATTAACTTTTCCAACATCGACTCGTATATAAAGCAGCCCCTTATAACTGTACTAGTATGTTTCTATAGATACGACTTAAAGTTTGAGAAATGTGTACTATGTAATTGTTGAAAAGTATGAATATTGCTTGATCTTTGGAAAACATATACACCAGACAAGCCAATAACTCCTAGGCTGTGACTCCAGAATGCTGCTACTGCATTGAATCGTAGGCACAAATCAACCAAACTTCCTTTCCTTCTGTATCCTTGTATGTCCTTGGCTCCAAGAACCCTCATCTGGCGTCTATTGATAGTGATTGATTGCCAAGTGCATCAAGGCAGGCAATTTCGTCCCATCCACGCATGCAATACAAATAGCTGCTTCTGCCGCTTGACATCGACCAAAATTTGGCTTGCAAATCCCAAAAGTGAAGAAAATGTGAGTTATACTATCGATTGTCTGTCTACTGCCATCTACAGCGCGTTGACATCTGCTAGTAGCCGCCGGAGCTCTTCCATCAGGCCATGACAGCCCCTGGGCTGATATTTTTCCCAGCACAAAGCACTGCCAGACGTGCTATTTTACCCAGTAACTGATCACTAAGACTTCACCTGGCAGCTTGATCTGCCATGATGCTCTGAAATTTGCCAAGAGTTGAATGTCAAGCTTCTCTTGCAACACTTGCCAGAACTTCTTCTCCCCTTCACACCCTTATTCGCTGTACAGCGTTGTTCCCTCATTCACAGACATCGTACATCAGAACAGAAAAAAGAACCACTACGACTGAACATATTTGTTATTTTTACTCACAGGAAAATAAAATGTGTCTGCAATACATTATCAAGTGCAGATACTGCGGTTACTGGGAACACTACACCTGGGATCGCTGTCGCGATAACAGGATTCTCCTGGAGAAGGGTTGCGCCATAGGCCAGCCATCGCAGCATCCTTCTGAATGCGAAATGTTCCCTGAAGACAACCGACAGCGACTCAGACGCCAGATGACGCCCTACGAGTGCCCTGTTGAAGATTGTAAGAGCACCGCGATTGCTAAGAAGCTCTTCGAAGAGCGTGCCAAAGTTGAAGCCGAGAGAGCGGCTGCACTGGCCAAGGCTCGTGCGGAGTGGGAAGCAAAGGACAAGGCCAGAAAGGCAGAGTTTGCAGCCAAATACTTTAAAAAGCTGCCTGTGGTGCGATTCAGTGAGAGACGCCAGTCCTTCTTGAATCTTCCTGCTGCAGACTCTTCACAAAGTCGCGTAAGTTTATCTACAATCATCCGTTTTGAAAGAGAACAAACTTGAAAGCTAACGCTGAAAACTATCAAAAAGAATGATCCATCGCCTAGAGCGGATCGCGTGCGCTGGCGTGATGAGTATATCACCGCAGAAGATTCAAGTGGCAATAGTGTTGCCGCATCCATGCACAGCCAAGTTTTTGAGGATAGCGAAGACGATGACTTTATATCGGATGATGAAGAAGAAGAGGACGAAGAAGAAGATGTTACGCCTTTTACTAGATTCGACGGAGCGATTGATATCAAGGGCAGCCTTGAAGGAGGCAGACGCAGAGGCAAAGCCTTTGAGTTTCACGACGACGGAATGCCCATTCGCACGGTGACGCCATAGAGCTCGGTCGTCTACTCAAGATTGAAGTCGAGATATGGCATTCGCCGTAACAGGGAGCTTCCTAGGGGCATTCAGCGGGACTGACTTAATACCTGACGATAGGCTCGAATTGATATGTGATATATGACACGGAGGAATAATGATGCATAGTATGGGTCGCGTTATTGCTAGAAATTGATACCAATGGACATAATCGAGCTATAATCTATATTTCCATCTGCCAATCGGTGATTCTAAAGGATCCAGTGTGCATAATATCTACGGTAGTTGAGCGAAAAAAGAGGCATGGTGAGCCTGGTCATCTACCTATGAATTGTGTAGCTTTTTGCCTCTACTGCTAACATACGGAAGCATGGGCCATTGGTGATTGTGGTTTCCTAACTGCCCTTGACACCCACCACTACGTAACTATTGAATGCAGCCAAAAGATTTACTTCTTAAATAGTTTTATGTATGTTATCATCACATAGCGGTCGGCGAAAATTCCATAGAAAGCGTTGTGACAGTGGGATGAACCTGGCTTTATATCACCGCCATGCTGTACGTGACATCACCAGTTAGACGACACGAAGCGGTGAGCAGGCATTGATTGGCAGATGCTTCTGTGTATCATGTTAGAAAACCCGCATGTTACGCTGGGACTTGGCAGGGCATTTATGTGCATCAAACTGGTCAGTTCTTTTCCCCCCTTCTCGTTACGAAGCGGTGTTCGCTTACTGCCCCCCTAAACTAATGCAGGTGCTCGTACAGACGTCGAATGCTCCATGCACAGACGGACGCAATTCTACGTTACTGCCGTGTCGTGTATCTCCATTACTACAGTACCTAGGTACCCAGATATTCTCGGCATTGCGAGGTACAAGATAGAATATCAAAGTTGACATCTAACACCCAATACCACTCCCACACCGCATGTTGCAAGAAAGCAAGAAAGAAACCTCGAAAACAGCAGCATCTCCCTTTTCCCTACCCCACTGAACAAGCCAACGCTAGGCGGCTGCAGGTCCAGCGGGATTTTTGTCTTTCTGCTTGCGGATCATCAAATTAGAGCGCCGAGAAAAAGCCTCGCTGTTCCTGTTTGGGCAATTAGGCTTGGGCCGGTGCCTGCGGGATGCGCCTGTAGTTACATGTAACCTTATGAGCTTAGCGAACAAGAGACTCCATACCAAGATACGGAGTAGCTGTCGCTAGCAGTAGTCGAGGAGAGAGAGGCCTTGGCGGGCGTGAAACTTTGCATACCTCCCTCTCCTTTTTCTCTCGTACTCTTTATCTTATCTACCTTTCTCCTCTCCAGCTCTCCAGCTCTCCCCTTCTTTTCATTCTTTACTTTTCTATTCTCTATGCTATACGCGTAACGATCAGTTCTATTCCAGAGCTCACCCCACGCCATCTTTGGACGCGACCTACCATCAATCAATCGGCCAGACCAGCGAAATCCTAGGGGATACAAACCTTTGATTGTCGACCCACGATGCATGCCATTGCGGTTCTTGGAGCTGCCGCGGCCGCTCTCTGCAGCCCAGCCGCGGCCATGCCTACCGCTGCTCCGTATCCCGAATTGGAGGCCCTCGAGGCTCTACACCGTCGCGCCCATCTCCAGCCTCGAGCCGATCCAACCGCTGCTTGGGTCACCGTCGGCGACGAGGGCACGCCCGTCAAGACCATCACGCCAAAAGCCACCACCATCAGCGGAACGCCCACGCTTGTCGACGTTGCGCCTCACGATATCACAGCCTCGGTGTACACCTTTACGAGCTGGGGCGTCATCACAACCAGCACTGGCCAGCCGCCTAACCCGACCGCCACATCCAAGAACAATGACGGAGTCTTTTCGCGGTGCTACAACAAGGACGGCAAGGACGCTCCCTTCTGCACACCGTATACGAACAGCTCGCTTCTCACGGGGAGCACCTATTACAGTATGTGACCTCGATATATATATATGCATTCGAATCCGCCAGGCACAGTTGCTAATTGTATCATTCCAGTTACTTGGGATCCCGACTACTACAACAAGACCAACTTCAAGACCAACACGACTTATGAAATCACTGTTCGCCTGGACTATCTCAACAGGACAAGCAATGAGTGGGTTAAGCTTGAAACCTTCGACGACAACAAGGTGCCAGCCTCTTGGGGCTTCTGGCCTCTTAAAGTCAAAAAGGATTATCTCATGGGCGAGAAGACCAACAACATCACCATCACCCTTCTGAGCGCTCCCAAGGGCAGCAACGACAAGAACAGCTCCATTGCCCTCCCAGTGCTTTTCCAGAAGCCCGCCTTACCCCAGAACTCAAAGACCGAGCTCCCCACGGGTCATACGCTCTCCATCGCGCTGCCTCTCGCTTTCGGCTGCTTCGTCTTCATCGTCGTCGGCCTCTTCATGTGGAACCGCAAGAGCCGCCGCATCCAGCTCGGCAACATCATGAGCCGCTCTCGTCATGGCTACAACGGCCGCAAGGCTCGCCGAAACATCTTTCACTCGAGGAAGGATAGCGTTCCGCTGCACAACGCGGATGACCACTTGAGAGACGGAGATTATCACGATGCGCCCATCGCTGGTCGACGCGATAGTGAGGCTCTGGGTAGCTTGGCTGGCACTCCTATCAACGAGACGTTTGAGCAGCAGGGCACCACTGGCGGTAATAAGAATACTTTCCGGGACGAGATGGCTCGACAGAACCAGGAGAGACGTGGAGGATTTTGAGAATGAAAAATGATGGATGAATGGAAAAGATAAAATTGACCATCATGATCCAGGTGATTGTGAGAGGTGCAATTGATACATGAATCTACGAGGAATAATGTTCTATAATAATCACTCTATAGAGTATGCGAGTTGGATCTTGTCAAGATAATAATGCAAGAATGTTGGAGGTGAAAAGAAATCGAATGGGTTAATTGATCAAGATCAATTTATTTGCTACATTGATATTCCCATGAGCTGTGTCACAACGCCCATTCTTGTTTGCTTGTGGAATATACAGTAGAAAAATCAAGTGTCAAAAACATGAAAGAGAGGAGAGTCGTGATTCTCCTACAAAAGTCCAACACCCAGCTCCGACCCTCAGTTCTATTTCCATTCCAGAGAAAACTCCGCCAGTACGGCTTCCTTTTTTCTTTACCAATCCCTGTGCGAACAAAAAGAAACACAGATACGCCCATCCTGATTACTCCTGATATCAACAGAAAACCCATTCGTCCATGCATTACATCGTCACTTATTGTCCCTTTCAACGGTACTCCTCCTTGTCCAGGATTAAAAACAGGCTTTCAAAAACGTCCCAAATGCAAAAAAGATATTCCATGGCGACCATCAGACGTTTGCATGTACAGAGTGATTAAAATCTTGATTGAGCCTGGGATGTTTATACACAATCTCGTCTGGAATGGTATGTTCAATTGGTCGTTTTAGCGTAGGATTTGATTTGCATTGTATCTCGGCGTGCAGTGATTCTTCCACTTCTGGCTGCTGCTGCTGCTGCTGCTGCTGCTCCGAAGCCTTTGATGCCTCGTCCGTAACGTCCTTATAGCCGGCGCACAGATCGAGCCTCTCTTCCCCTTCTTGCAGCGGCCTCATGAACTCCGCCGGTATAGCCGTCATGAGCTGGCAGCTCGGCTGGCACGGCTGATAGGTATCCGCCGTCCAATCATCGTCTGCATAATTCTTGGCTTCGGCCAAGGTGTATCCCGTGCTGAAGCCCTCGTGGTAGGCATCTGGTAGGATGACAATGGTCTCGCCGGGTCGCTGGTCGACGATTCGATGCGGGATGCCCATTTTCTGGAGCTTCTCCGGGAAGAAGAACTCGGCGCGGTGTCGCATAAATTGCGAACACTTGCCCTTTCGATTAAGTGCTTCTTCGGCGATGTCGACGGCTGTAGCAGGGACCACAATCCAAATCTTGCGACCCTTGTAAAGGTGATTCAGGGAAGAAAGGCGAAAGTCTTCAGCGTGGAGCTGGAAAGTAGCACCGAAATGCTGTGCTGATTCGTACACATACGGCGTGTGGATTCCGGGAATAATCGCTTTTGTCTTGTCCAATTTGTCGCCGGCCAACGGGTGGATGGGGCTTCTGTCTGGCACGCCAGCTTCTCGTCTCTGCTTAGCTGTCCACGCGGGGACGTCAACTCGGTAACGCACGTTGCGCATCTGCTTGTCCTTGCTCTTGTTGAAAAGCGTCTTTAGCTTCTTGAAATTCTCGTCAACACTCCCAGAGAGCTCGCCCTCTGGCTCTGAAGATGAAAAGGCGCCTTCGCTCGGTACGGTGCTGACCTGCCAGAATGTCCTGTGGTTGATCTGTCTTATTCGATAAGCGTTGGCCGTCACATACTGCGAGTCCTTCTCTGGAAGCGGGTCTTGAAGCTCTTCTGGGAGGATGATCTTGAAGCAGCCGTCGACTTCAGCATGAAGGTTGCGAGCAAAAGCCAGGAGTGCAGGGAAATCCTCCCACTGTTCGGCTGTTGGTCTGAGGTGTAAGATCCTATGGCCCGGTGGTCCATCGTAGGTATATGCAATGCCGTGAGTATCTGGCTCGCTCAAGGGCGAGCTTGCTCGACTGCTCCCAGTGATGGAAGAGCTATAGTTTTCTGAAGAGCTAGCAAACCTAGCTAGCTCAAGCTCTTCCTCGGGCAGCTCTCCTATCTCTGACACAGGATGGAGAGAGCTAGAGACCTTCGAATCTTCGTCTTGCGACTGTGGCCTCGTAGCCTGATCTGGCTCTTCCATGGCGACTGGTTCTGACGAGGACATTTCACCGGGGGTTAGGGTTACAGCTGCTAAAGGTTCGCAAGCAAGATCGGGATCTGCTGTCGTCGTGGTTTTGTTGTTATTGTTGTTGTTGTTGCTGCTGCTAAGCGATGCAGGAAGCCGTCCTTGTAAGTCCTGCCGTACTTGCTGAGCGGCAGGCTCCGTATTTGAGCTCTGCCCGTTTGCCAGGCCCTCGCCTGCGACGGCCTCAATGGCGCGCCCAGCGCCCCTCTCAAGAGGCGCACATGACGGAGACGAAAGCAACGGCTGAGGGGCGTCCATGTCCGCAGGGCTCTCCTCCAGGCGGCCTTGCGCGCCAAGGGGGATGTCAGTGGTGTCGCGGGCCGTATCGTTGGCCTCGTAGCGACGCTTCGCCTCCATCGAACAGCGTCTAGAATTGCGTAATGTACCCACCGGGTTACCCCCGAAAGCCGCTGCAAGTGTTATGGGAGAATAGGAACGAAATAGACTGCAGATGCGGGCAGGCTTCCTCGGACTCTCCGTGGGTCTGGTGGGTGGTAACGCAGAGAGAGCTTGTAGTATGTAGGTACAGGTATCAATTTGAAAGGGCCGCCGCAGGGAGTTCTAAAGGCAGCGCTGAAAACGTGGCCGCTTCGTTGATGCTGTTGGCCGTACTTGTCGTCCAAGGCTTCCTTTTCTTTCTTTACCAAAAATAAAAAAAGTGAAATAATTCGTGGATTAAAGGAGATGCCCGTCTTTGACCAGATGCAGGGCTGAAACGAGGCGGCCGTCAAAGGCGAAGCTATGCGACCCGGTAGAGAAAGCGGTAGGGCTGGCTGCGCGCAACAAACAACAGGCGGCAAGGAGAAAATAAGTAGAACGAGACCGGCAATCGGACGAGGCGTCAAGCCTAGAAGTCAGCAGCCTATGGCTTCAAGGACGAGCGAGAGAGAAAGAAGAACGGAGAGCAGAAGCTGAAGTCTGGATTGATCGTTACAAAAGAAAGTAGAAGAGTCCCGCAAGATAATAAACATTGATCGAAGCAAAAAAGAAAGACGGGCCAAAAACGTTCGCGACGAAGAGACCTGAATCGCAAAATTTTCGGCCTCTCCGTTGCGTTGGAGCTAGTTTCGGGTACCTGCTACCAGGCCGGCCTCGAGATGGCGGGCGTGCATGCAGGCTAAAGGAGAAGTATAGGAGTACATGGGAAAAGACAGTAAAAAGGGAGGAAGAGGGAAAAAGCAAAAACTCTCAATAGGTACATGCATGTGTAGTAGAAGGAAAAAGTGGTGGTGGCAACAGCAGCCTTTGGGGCGTTTTCGTTTTCCTTTGGTTGCGGTGCTAGACGATACTGGCTGTTCAGCTGGCAGACTTTTTTTCCTTTTGCTCAAATAAAAAAACCATTATGATTTTCATTGTATTTCATCTTCATTTTGGAATCTTGCTGTAATACTTTCTGCTTCCTTATCCTGTCTTGTGCAAAGAAAGGCGTGCGAAAGCCGAATTCGTCCTGCACGCTGCCTGGAAACAAACTACTGAGTCGTGTGTATAATGCAACCCTCCCCCCAATCTGGCCAAAAGGGGGCCAGAAAATCGTCCGTCGTGCGTTTACGTACGTCACACAACGATCCAAGCGAGCGAGATCATGCGCTTTGCATCACTAGTTCGCGCGCGCAAGAGGCGCATATCTGGCTGACTGGAGACAAAGCCTGGAGCCGAATCCGGAAACTCGCTGTGCCACTGGGGGCACCCAATAGGCCTAGCGGTGCAGAGAAGCAGTTGGTTGAGCAGCCCCAGGATGCTTTGTTACTTTAGCGATTTAGTAGCTTGTGGTTGTAAGCACATGCAGCTGGGCAAGTTTAAGTGTTTCTGTCGCTTCTCATTGCATTTTGATTGTGCCTTTTGCTGCCCTCTTGGCCCTTGGCGCGCAGATCGCATCGGCCCAATGCTGGCTGCGTTCATCACTCCGGCCGCGGGAACAGGGATCAGTTGCCCTTCCGGGATATGCGATCTCTCGTCTTGGTGATGCGGGGGAGCCGTCCGGGGTCTGGTAGGCCGCTTTGGATCCCAGTAGATGTGATTTTCAGCCACTACAACCCTCACGTATGACAGCTTTATCATCTCCAGGTTCAGAATATTTCAACAGTAGTAGTATTCAGTTTGCACCCTTGAACTCGACAGACAGTATGGGTAAAACAAGTACATGTAGCTATCGCCAGTCGGTGCCTATAAAAGGTACTAGACTAGAAGTCATATCAAGTCGGAAATATCCAATACGGCTACGCAATTCAACCACACACATACCAGGAGACAGAAAACAAAACATGTAATTTAGGAGGGAAAGAACAGCGTTTCATGCGCCGTGTTAATTTATTCATCTCTCTCTATGGGCTAGTAGCTAACCCTTTATCGCTCACAAACAGCTTTGTCCACCCTGTCCACCCGGAGTACCCGTCGTTTACTGGCGATGCCTCCTCGCACCGCTCAAAAGCCAACCAGCACATTTATTTCTCCCGACTGCATAAATTCGTCAGGCCATTCTTTCCCGCATCCCGGTAACCAGGCCAAAAAAAAAAAAAGCCAGTCATATCATGTGGAGTAAAAGCAACCAACAAACAAAGCTTTGCTGTCAAGAAAATATACACAAGGGGTATTGAGACTCCTGCCCAGCCCCTAAAAGAAAAAAGACAAGAAAAAGAGGAAAGAAGAAGAAAAAAAGAAGAGATGAAACGCGGAAGAAAGGGAGGACTGCCACCGTGGTCTGAAAAAGCGACTAGGTAGGTAAGGTAGTATAGCACCGTTGAAGAGCTCGACCAATGCCCATAGGTAGTCCACCAAATATCCTTCTTGGTCCACTTCTCTAGAAAGGATTTATCCTAATTAATGATTAATGACACTTTGTCAATCTCATGAAAAGTCATCTGCATCTCGTGATGATGCTACCAGCTCTCCTATGGCATCAACAAGCTCCTTGGCTTCTTGAGCAACCTCGAAAGCAATGGGTGGTAATGTCTGGGTCCAGTTACCCCATTCTTGTTCATGAGCTCCTGAATCTGCCATGTCCTGTCCACGATGTTTTGCTTCGACAAGGTGGTCCCGGCATTTGCTTAGGCGAGTCACCATGCTACCGCGGCCGGTGTTCTGGGTCTCCGAGACAAGGTTGCTAACGATATCGCTAATGGAGTCGATTTCCATGGAAATTTGGCGGATATTCCCATTGGCGCGAATACATTCAACAAGATTATGGACGTCGGATAATAACAGTGCGTTTTGGTCTTCAAGATAGATCTGAACCATCGTCAGTCATGCCGTATACGAGATTGCGAATTGTCGCCTTAAGCCCGTACCTGGAGACCTTCGATCTGGCCGTCGTTATGCTCATCACTGTGTCCATTGGGCACCCCCTTTGCATATGGAGCCATCGATTCTCGAGGGGAGTTTACAGGGCTATAGGCCGAAGACTCGATGCTCGCCCTAATACTGGCAAGGTTTTTGAAAGCAGGAGCAGGAGGTAGGCCGTCCTGGGTTGCTGATCCTCGAGCAACGCTGCGTGGGGAAAAGAAACCGGAGGAGTCGATGGGAGTTACAGACCCGTCTTCCTCGTCTTCCAACTCCTCAAGAGGCGTTGGTCGGATTTTCACAGCTCGGAGCATGTCAACAATAGCGACTGTGAGATGAGACGCTGCAGCATCGACAAGGGCGATTGGCGTGATGCCAGAGCTCGTCGCAAAGCTCTTGGAGACGGTGATCAGATTGTTTGCAGTGGCAGAAATTCTTGCCCTAAGCTTTCCATGCTGCTGGGCCGCCTCGCTGCCGCGTGGTGCAGCCTCGTCCAGGTCTCTCGTAATTCGCCGGACGCTAACCACAACCCCCTTCATGGCATCGATGACAGTCTCCGGGCTCTCTTCACGAACTTTCTGCAAAAGCTCGTCGATGGCCATCTGGTACTTGGTGACGTGGACATCCTTGACCTGGCCACGCTCATCCAGCAGGGTGTTGTCGCTTGGTAGCTTCGTGGATTCTCCGTCTACGCTGAATCCAGCGGAAGAGCCTCGAAGGCTTCTGATCTGAGTCTTGGTTTTCGCGTAGCGGTTCCTCCATTCGCCAACTTCGTGCTCCAGTTGTGCAATCGTCTTTTCAAGCTCTGCCTGTCTTTCGTATTTTGATCCACTTTGCAGAGAAAGCTGTCGCATCTCACGCAAAAACTCTTGAGCCTCGGCTCGCGCCTCTTCCGTCACTTGCTGCTGTTGCTGCAGCGAGTGTCGCAGTTCGTCATTTTCTCGTTGCAAATCCTCATGTATGCTTGTAGAGGACATCTGGCTCATGCTCTGCCGTACCTGTTCTCGGAGCTGCTTTGTTTCCTGTTCGTGATCCTCGCGCACACGCTCCAGTTCTTGCTTCAGTGAGTTGCTCATACTCTCCGCTTCTGTTAGTTTATTCTCGAGGTTTGAGCGGAGATCTGCCCATTCCTGTTTTTCTTCTTCTGTGGCTGCGGCTTGTGACTGGTTGTCTCGCAAACTGTTCATTTCCTCTTCCTTCTTCTTCATTGCGTCTTCCATGCTTGTGAGCCTGGCAGCCAAATCCTTCACCTTTGCCTCGTAGTCCTCGATTACTTTCTTATCCGCCTATCGCAAATTTGATATTAGCCACACCATAAACAAATTAAGAAGAAAAAGTAAACACAAGCATACCTCTGAAGTTCCTCCATTTTCTCCATCTCCAGCTCCATAAGCATCAGAGCCATCGTCATCCTCTTCAATCATAGTGCTCTTGTTAGGGACAATGGTGTTATTCTGAGTAGGGTGCCGCGGCATTGGTCGAGCGTAGTTGCCATTAGGAATGCTGGGTGATGGAGGCACGCCGTACGCATCAAGCGGCGGCGGTCCTCTGATGGAGCTGGCGTTTGATGGCCTTCGGCCGCGGCTCTGTCCCCTCGGCGGGTAGTCGCCGCCATTAACGGGAGTCCCTGTGCGATTTATTGGGCCGCCTCTGTTGGACATGGAGCTGCCCATACGGGGGATGTCGCCGCCCACGAATTGCGGAAACCTGCGCTCCAGCTCGTGAAACACATCGGCCGCAAGATCCCTAAATCGAGGAGGTCCGAGTGATGACAATCTCTGGCGAGCCTGGTTCCGCTTCGGGTGGAAGGTCTTCTCTGGTAACAGGAAGCCTGGCGGCACGTTTGGCGCATTGGGAGGAATGCGTGCTGCTGTCTGGCGACGCACCAGCTCATCGTAGACGTCCGTACTCAACTCGAAGAACTGCACCGGGGAGAGTCGCAGCAGCTTGTCGCGGGCCTTGTTGGGCTGCTGTTTGGAATTCGGATCGCGCTGCTGCAGGAAAGCCCGCAGAGCAACATAGTGTTCGCCGAGGACGTTCTCGTCTATCGGGGCAATGGGCGAGTTGTCGCCTCCAGCCTCGCTCCGCGCGTACATGTTCATGCCATTGCTAGATCGGCCCACAGAGGGCGGTGGTGACGGGCCGCCGGTGTTCGTAGGCCCCGGGGGGAAGCCATTCATGCTCATGATCCCAGGGGAACCTCCAGAGTTGGGAGGCGACACGAGGTTCCCGTGAGGAGGGAGGATTCCGTTGTCGTTGGCCTGATATCGGGAGAAGGACCACTCGCTGCCGCCTACAGACACTGGAGAGAGCGGCGCATTGCGATCGCTGATGGTGCTCATGGTGGGAGGGAAGCAGGAGGAGAGTAGGAAGAGGAAAGAAAGCGGCTAGCTTAGACGCCACACGATGGAGAGGCTTTGGCGGTTTGTGTCTGTGTGCCTGCCAAGTCCAAGTACTGTGCGAGCGTAGTGTCGTGCCAAACAGACGCCACCGAGAACCAGTCCCAAAGCCACGGCGACGACGACGCCTGTCCTGGTGCTAAAAAGGCCCGTTCCCCACAGTGTGGCACCCCTGGGAACTGCTGCTGAGTGCTGCTATCCAGTAGCAGGCTGGGCACGATGGGATGGATGGACGTTGTTGAGATCAATGGGAAAAGCTGAAAGCTGGGCTGTCGTTGGGGGTGACAAACAGGGAAGAAGCTCGAGGACTAGTACAGTACAGTTCAGTTGGCAAATGGACCGGCCGCTGAGCACAGTCAGGAATGAGGGAGGGTCTAGGAAGCCGTAAACTGGGCGTTCCCACGAGGTTGAGGTCGCTAAAAGGGCGGATGGGCCAGTTGGTGCGCCGGCAGTTTTTGAGAGCCGCAAAGCCCTGTGAGTCCCTTCTCGGGACTGCTGCTGCCAGGAAGAAACTTGCTTTGGGACGAGCCGTGCGGTACACGCGGCCAGGCAAGTACTCGACAGACAGGCGCCGGCAGGGCTCGTGTGTAAGTATCTGCTGGGTGAAAGGAACCGGCGTGGCGCAAGACCCGGGAAGAAGCAAAATTCGCGACGGCGCTTGAAACAGCAAGGCAGGGATGCCGCAGCTCGAATCGAAAGGGCTGATTGTCCACACGTCCGGGGGTGAATCAAAAGGGGGGGGCTTTGGAGCCTCTGCTGGACAGATCTGGCGCAGGTCGGAAATGAGCTGCTATTCCCTTGTTGGTAAATCAGAGTCGAGTGCAATTTCTTCCAGACAGCGCCCCGTCGGGGTTGGGAAGGGAACAAGTGCAGAGAGAGAGAGCGAGATGGAGCTTGGCACGGGAGACAAGCAATGCTAGCAGGTAGCGTGTACTTTCCGCAATGCTCACTCAAAAAGAGATATGGATGGAACTGTGAAAATCAAAACACTTGTACTAGTCAAGTTGAACAAGGGTTGGAAAGGGAAGGAGGGAGATTCAAGAAGGGAACGCGGTTAATAGAAGGGAGAGACGCCGCTGCAGAAAAAGGCAGGACTGGAAGGGCTGACGCAACAGCAGAGATCGATCGGCGGCCAGCAATAAAAGGAACCGCTGCGCGGGCAGCAGTGGCGGTGGTAATTTAAAGTACGGAGTACCTGGGCCTAGCACATGCGAATTACAGCATCAGCAGCAGACTGGACAAGGCCAGGGGAAGAGCCCTCTGTAGTGCATCTCGCTAATACAATTAGCAGCTGTGCGGGTTGCAAGCTTTCACCACTTGCTTACATGTACCTTACTGCAAACATGTACATAGGACAAGTTCTATAGTACGGACCATCTTCTGGTTTCGATGCTACAAATCATCACTGGCTGGCTGCTACAGTAGGTCATGAGATAGTCGTTCCCCACCGATCCCCAATCGTCGGTGTGCAATTGTGCATATAATAGCGCTTGTGACTAGCACTCAACCACAGCGTAAAGACAAACTGCCAATTGCTGTGTCCATCCACTCTACTACATAGTCCTCTTTCGCACCTCTTTTTTTTCTTCTTGTTTTTTCAAATACTTACATCTGTAATTTCAATCATTTCGTGTGCCGAGCTGTGGCCCCCAGGATAAAGCAGGAGTCCCTTGAACAAAAACAGATGCGAGTCTTCCGTGCCTTGCCTCGTGGCGTTGGCGCCATTCGAATAGCCCTTCGGCTAGAGCTGGGGGAGTGGGCATGTTCCCCTGAATTGCGGTCTCGCCGGGTCCTGATTTGCTCTGCAATCGCCAACGCTAGGTATTGATCGGGGCCAGAGTGGCGCTTTTTGGGGGGCTGTTGCGGTGCGGTTCATGATCCAGGAACGAGGCCTCCAGAATGCTTGCAACTGAGATATTAACTTTTTTTTTACTCTTCTTTTTCTTTTCTGCATGTCAACTTTAGTTGTCAGACAGCACGTGGAATCTTTTAGGCTACTCTACATATGTTTCACATATTATGCGTTTGTATACAAGTACGTGCAATATCGAATATATGATCTTCACAACGTTGATGAAAACCGTTAGATAAGAGGCTGCAACCAGGACAAGGCCCAAGAGTACCATCGAGCTGTGGCAACACATGCTTGATTTACTCCTACTTGATCTTTCTTTTTCCATCCTCATGACTTCGTATGCCTGTGGTCCGCCAAACAGGGGCTCTGTCTTCACCAGAATCCGATACAAGGCAGCCAAGTTTCGGTGATTTAACATCTGTTGCCCCCAGTATGGTGGCACAGAGGAGGTTAATGGGAGTTTGCTCTGATCTATATATAGCGCTTCGTATGCTGCTGTGCTCGTATTAGATACACAAATAGTAAAGCTTCAACAACGGGAAGTTGTTTGCGTCCGACCATCTACAAGCATGATCATTTGGTGGCAGTCGCGAAAGTTTGTGAACAATTCAGTCGTCCTGCGAAGCTCTCAGCTAATCTTGCATCGAGGGCAATCTCGTAGATTACGTGTAGTAGGTATAGACCCATGCTTGATTGCAGCCAATCCAGCTGCCCTGGCCATCCATGACGATAGCGTCTGGTGCTAGTGCTTTCGGCTGCTGCCAATGCTACTCTGTAATAACTGTCCGGGCATTAGTATCCATTGCTGATATCAGTCATGCGCGTGAGACAATGCGACGGTGATAGTGCTTCGTCTTAATATCGAACCTGATAAGAGAGGTTTCTCCAAATGGACATTATGAACTATCATCGACCTAAACTATTACTAATATGACAACTATCAACATCTTTGAGCGTCAACACGCGACCTACCATACGCATTTAATGATCATTACCCCCTGCGTTATCAGGAAAAGAGTTCCCAGTCTCAGAGAATAGCGCGTTGGTGCTCGAGCCAGACCAGAACAGCAAAGAGAGTAAACATTATAATTTTCTTCAAACTTGAGCAATTGTCATGCAGTCTTTTATAGCAGAAACTGGAAGATTTACAATGCAATACGAACCATACCACGAGCGTTTCATTGCATTCTCCTCCCACCATCTTCTCCTGTTACCCACTCTTCGGGTGCTTCCCGAAACCAACAATGTAAGATTCCCGTGCCGTTATCTACTCATCTCATCTCACCAAAGCCAATCTGGAACATGTCATTGGAGATCTTGCATTGGAGTAGTCCGGAGCACAGTCGATTGGCAGACTAAATGCCGGCAATCTAGCAAGGCTGCAAGCTGCCCGGGCTAGACGCGGGTTGATGCATATACGAGGTTTCGATTTGATCCGAGGAACGCCACATTTCTTGTGTTAGGGCATGCGCGAAACAGACAAAGCTAAGCACAGCACAGCACCTTATTCTGCGTGGTGTGTTTATGCCATCCGGTAAGACGCAGATTTTACTGTTGTATAATCATTCATTCCTACAGCGGAGGAATCGAAAATATGAGGACCAGACATTTTCCCATGGCCATTTGATTAGAATATTAGCCATCAAGAGTTCGCAGGGCCGTCATGTGCTTGGTATGAAATTCTTATGCGTGTTCTCATGCACCCAATTAAAAGAAACGAGCCAAATCACTACCTGCAAGGTCGCCCAAACGCCACGCCAAATCCAAAGTGCTCATAGTCGCCGTGAAAAAAAAAAACAAAAAAAAAAAACAAAGATGACGTAGCGAGATTTGTCGGGCCCATCTCTCCATTAAAACCACGCCAGAGTCCAGGTTGATGGTAGATTAGGCCAACGTTCTTGCCAGGCGCCAATAATCTCTGGAACTCGCTCGTCAAAACTCGCTCGGGCAGACGCACTCCCGCTGTCAAAAGCCGCCGAGCCTATCGCGCCTCGCTCCTCTTCGGCGGCGGCATTGAGAGAATTGGCAAGATCGAGAATGCCTTGCCCACCAACGGCAGCCTCCTCGTGGTTATCTTTGATGTCAATGTTGATCACATGTACCGGGCGATTTAACGGAGAGCCACGGTTGAGGAGGTCGTCAATGACGGCATCCCAGCACCGCTCTTCACAGGTGAAGACTACGTCCACGACACCGCCTTCCACGCCCTCGCTGCCCTTGTCACTGGAGTGTTGCAGCCTTGGGACCCCAACGGGCCAATCTTGCCAACGTTCGGGCCCCCATTTAACGCCTCTATTTCTTCCTAGCATGTTCAGAATACCATTGTTCCGATACAGTCTAGAGTCTTTCGCCTCTAATTCTTTGTACATGCTATCGTACGATGTCTTGTTGAACTGATACACGTTTGGCTGGGTGATTGTCGGGCCCGGTAGCCGGACGAGAGAGCCGGTGCCAAAGGAGATTACAGGGTAATTGGCTTGCGAGAGTCGGAGATGAGCTTCCATGGATCTGGATTTATATTAGGAAGAACGCAAAAGGGATCATCTGCCATTGAGACCGACCTGTTGTTGTTGCTTGCGCAAACAGTGCAGAATCTGAGCTTGTACTCTCCATTCTCATTTTGTGTCGAGCCATTCTGCTCCGTTGTCGTACCATTCGCAGTCTCCATGTTGAATAGTTAATTATCCTGGGCAAGAGGTTACGTGATAGCTACACGAAAGAGGATGTTGCATTATCCAGCTCAAGGCAGTGAGTTAAATCTGGTTCGAATCCACTAGCGTTAGCAAACTTTTGAAACTTCCAGTGGTAGCGCGATTGAAAATTGCAGAATTCTTCATCAGTTTGAATCGTATATTAAGTAAAAAAAAATTTCTCATCAGAGCGCAATTGCTCAGACAGCTCCAATAAAGGGTTCATCATAGAAGAAGGGGGTTCACGGGTGTTTCATAATTCATTTCCTACCTTTGATAAGCGTAACATGTATCTGTCCGCATTCATCCAGTATCAGCCATTGGCGGGTGCTGGCTGTGCGACGCTGGGGCTCGTTAATTTCGCTCGAGCATAAAGCAATATTGAAGCTTTTGAAAGTCGTGAGGTGAAAGGAAAAGTTGGCGGTGGAGCTCTAGGCGACCTACGGGTAAATCGCGGGCTGATAGCTTAGCTCGATATCTGTATTAGGTAATTACGGCCCTCCAACAAGCCTTGTATGAATGAGATGAACATGAGCACTGCCATAATTCATTTTCTTTCCCAACTGATGCATGGACTGCTCACACAAAGCGACTATTTTATGACTTGGATTCTATGATAAAATTCTGTAGAAGAGAAAAGCATTTTGCAAAATTCCACGGAGCACGGGACATGAAATATACAGGAGCAAGCATATGGTAGGTACTTCAAGTTGTTACCCATGAGAGCGTTTCATGCAGTACAAAGGCTGTACTTGGGCAGTACCAACTGCCTTGTTTGGAGGCATCCTCATGAAATTTGGTTCCCCCGAAAGTTGCCCCCATCGCAGTCCTTTTGTAGCTCTATGATTGGCCTGCAGGCACGCGCATAACCTGAAACGAACGACGCTTAGGCTTCTCCCAATCAGCGTCTGGCGTGGACCAACCCCTGCCCGCAGCCGCTGTCCAAAAATAGAAGCACGGATGCCACTGTAGGTATTCCTCTCATGTGTTATTAAAAGCCTGCCATCGCCAGACGGAATGTGTCAGGAAGGGTTCTGGGAAATTGCACTGTGAGACACTCGTACGGTGTCTTGCGTCTTGAATATCTGGGGTTGTGCATCTCATCTCGTTGATTCTGCTCTTCAGTCCACTCTAAGCAAGAGATCACGCAGTCTGCATCCTGCTTCTTACATGTGACAGTATCGTAGATCCTCCACTCTCTGAAGAGTAGGTACTAATTAACATCAGTCTCATGCGCGGGTGCGTTGGTTTGCTCAACACACTCAATACAGGTATTCCCGCCGTTCTGGGCAAGGCATCTGGCACGCCACTTAGCAAATCTCCCGTCCACTTGAACCTCAGAGCAACCTCATGGCAACGTAACCATTGAAGGTAATACCGCCCAAAATCAGCCTGGTCAACGAATAATACCACTATAGCTTCCGTGGAACCTGACCGAGCTAACTCTGACCGCGGAAATCAGAGATGGAAACGAAATTGCTACCAATCCCAATTCTGCTCGTATGAACCTGGACCATGTTTGAGGTTTAGAGCCCCTATGTGGGGTTAGAGCAGCAAAACCCAGACTTGCGGTTCCCACGGGCTTATAGTAGGTGAGGTAGTAATCCTCCATATTGGCATGGTAGGTACCTAGGTATTACGAGGTACTATTACCAGGTAATGTGGTAGCGACAGATCTCCCACGCGCCAGAGATAATGGTACATACAGTATGTGGTAGTGTTGAGGCGTATTACTCCGTCTGTCGAATACACGTACTGGCAGCTGGACATGAGGTATTACCACGAAGTAGCTGATCTTGCATAAGAATTAACGGAATTCGTCTGATGGCCTAATCTAACTGAAATATTGATCCCACCGAGTTCTATTAGGTGTCCTAGTACTGGCTGCTTTCCCTCGGCACATCCAGTGTTGGTCATGTATGAAATAGGCTGCAGCGTCCAGTCTCTCTAAGCTGGCGTACGAAACATTCACCATTTGTCCCAGGCAATGGCTCCGTGGCATTTGACTGAACTATCCGTGTAAATAATCAAAAGTCCATGCTATTGCGATTGTACACGACGCCAGAGACTCAGCCACTTCCTTGGCACTCATCCCGATATCGACTTGGAGCTGCTGCGCAACTTGGCCATCAACACCCCGCTTCGCAGAAACCAAGCTGTCAACTTATACCTGAGACGGGAGAGGATTACTTGCATATACCCAATCCAACGAAACAACTCAAAATTAACCATCAGCGGCTCGCCTTGCCGCTCGCCCATTCTGGCGCTACCGATTCCATCCATCAAATTTACGTTGATAGGCATATTAGCCTCTGCTTTTCAGGCGCGGACTCGTTGGACTGGCTGCGGCTCGGCCAGTAGAATTAGCGGGCGACGCGCTGACTCCAGCTGGACGGCGACCAGATTTAGCCCTATATCGAAGCCGACTGGACGTTGACAGCGGTTCGCCACTAACAGAGTACTAATAGAGTGCGTTTCAGCCAGCGCAAGTACTTTGGCGGTACATTGTGTGATCGCTCAGCTTCGATCGACTCCAAGCTAAACTTCTGCTCCGCGAGGCAGCCTCGCCATCTCCCGCACTCGCCCAGTCCCTCGCATCTTGAAATCTGCGTCAGGACCTCCAACGTCACCCGCAGCGCCTCTGCAGCAGCGCAGGGGGCACCCGTCAACTGCAGTCCTAGCACTTCTGCTGTCATCAGAACCAGCATCCCTCCAGATCACCGCCCTAGCCTCCCTCACGCCTCTTCTGCAAACAACCCTGCTCTGACACACCAGCGACCGCTTGTCTCAGATTAGGGTTTTCTGAGCCTCCCACCTCCGCAGAGCCGATCTCTGTCTGTATTGCTCTCGCCGACACCGAAACTCGCTCCGCTACAACCAGAGACACAGCACAGACGCTGTCCCGGAGACAACCATCCTGCTTCGACTTGCGCTGGAAGAATTTGGATAAAGGCCTGCTTGCCTGCCGGCGGCTGCTCAAGTTGGTTTCCCAAGGGCCGAGGCGTGGTGCTAGAGGCAGCAGCGCTGGATTCTCTCTGGTGGCATCGGACTGCAGCACCTTGGAGGGATGACCGCAACCGCAACAATGTCGATGAATTCGCCCACAGCAGCAGCGTCCCCGGCGGACCTCGCTTCGACGATGCCAGACGCAATCGACTCTGACCCAGCCCCGCTGAACGCTTCGACATCGAATCGCCATAGTACATTATCCCGACCACTGTCATATGCGTCCAAGAACAGATTGTCACAATACTCTGTTACCGGATCGCTGCCCCCCCGATCGCGGCCTCAATCTCACGTGTTCCCCATGTTCCCCTCGAGTCTGGCCTACACGCAGGTGCGCGACTTCGCATATCCCATCATGCATCCCATGCACTACGGGCCGCCACCCGAGCCCTCAGGGCCGCCGTCTGGGCTTACGACGCCCATGAGTGAAACAAGGCGGCTTTCCGAGCCGTCTGTCTCGTGGGACCAAAAGATGCCGTGGGATTCATGGACACCGGATGGATTCAGCCGAGCCCACGATTTACCGCCAATTCATTTTGGGGACGGCCCTCCCTATAGCGAAGATGAAGACTTACAGAGCCCGGTGGTCTCTACAAGACACCGGAAGCACAAATCAACCTCAGCAGCTCTCCATACTGGCAGAGGGCGCACTGGTCGCGACCCTGACAGAGGCCAATCTGCCATTATTAGCTCTAGCTATGACGATAGCCAGAGCTACTACCTGGGAGTTGGCGGAGACGGAAGCGAGCGATACTATGTGAGCCGTGGAGGCGAAGCGAATGGGCCCGGCGGTGAACTTGTCACATACCCCCCAGATCAAGGACATCATGGCCATACATACCAATACTCGCAACGCCGTGAAAACGACATGGATGGGTACCGCTCGGACTCCAGCCGCTCATCATCACCGGGCGGCCCTGGAGTGGACCAATCCCGCTACTCGCGTGACTATCAGTTCACCATTACCTCTCCCGATGAAGAGTTTCATGGTAAGGCCGTGGCTCTCTTCGACTTTGAACGAGAGAACGAGAACGAGTTGCCATTGGTGGAAGGCCAGATCATTTGGGTGTCTTACCGCCACGGACAGGGCTGGTTGGTGGCAGAAGACCCAAAGACTCAGGAGAGCGGCTTGGTTCCAGAAGAATACGTTCGATTACTCCGAGATATCGAAGGAGGGATGAACAGCCTGACTGGAGCTCTTGTCGATGCATCTGGATCTCCCAATGATGCGGGCACCCCAACCCAGACAGAGCATAACAACAACTTCGGCCATACTCCCACGCAAAGCACTTCGACCAACGGATATCACCAACCAATTGTCTCTACTTTTTCGACTTCGAGCAAAGACCTCAACCCGTATCCAACGGAACAGCTTGGTATTCAAGCCGGCCAAGCCCCTCCTCAAGTAGTTCACTACCATGGACAGAGAGGGGGCAGCCAAATCAGCACTCCTACCTTGACTCAACTACAGGAGTCTGAAAGAAGAGCAAGCCAAGACGCAGGAAATAAGTCAGAAGAAATCCCAACAACTGCGCAAGAAGAGCCGAGCGCGAAACCTATCAACACAGACGCATCTGGTGAAGCAGCAGAGATAAGCTGATGAAAATAGCTTGTCAGATAACTTGACAATGAGCTGGAAATATCCCTTGAGCCGGAAATATTAAGCTGATTTTCGTATTTTCGTGTATTTTAAAGTGGAAGAGGAATACAGTATAAGAGATATGTTAGAGCTGCTCATGTTTGGAAGTGGATATACAACTAATTGCTTGGCATCACCATCCCATCGCCGGAGTACCTACCATTAGCCGAGGTTCTCTCTTGAGATGGTTTAACACGATGAATATATAAAGGAGATACGGTGTATTTGGCTGGCTTCAAATTTAAAAGAGGATACTGAAAGATATACTTGCTGCTCTCTTGAGACTAGCGAAATTTCTGGGTCGCATCACTACAATGCGATTGTAACAAAGGAGGGAGAAAAGGAAGAGCGCTTTTGGAGTAAGCGTGATGATTGGATGATAATTCCTACGACTCTGGTGGGCTGGGCATAGTTATTTGTTTTTTTGTCCTTGTCTTTTTTTTGTTGTTTTGCTTGGGCTGTCACTTCTATGGTGGATGGCGTTCCATAACACACATGGAGTGGGAGCGGTTGACTAAGGCGGGCGGATTGAGTTGCTAGACGTAATAAAATCAAAATATTAATTCAAATGGCCATTCATTTTTTGGCTTTTGTATCTGTCAGTCTGCTGTCTTGTTTGCTTCTAGACGTGAGGAGCTAGATCATCTCTTTTTCTTAGCCAATGGCTGGCTACACGGTTTGTTCTCTAGTAAAGTCTCTTCGCCAGTCCCGTTGTTATTCCTCTTTATCAACGAGCGTTTCATGAATAAGATGTTTTTGAATTCTATTCAGCCTTGGAATTCCTCGTGGTGGAAGGATAACGATAAACAGAGGAGGCTCTTTGAACGTATGATTAAGGCATTTCGATAGAGTAGACAAGCATGACGAAGGTGAAACTGATTATTCGACTCTTGGTGCCTTGTGTCGAGATAAAAGCGCCACGTACGTCGATTGAAGACTATCGGTATTACAGCCTCTAAGTGTGATTTAAGTTGGAAGACGAGTTTGTCTTGTCAGATGGGTCTTTGTGCGAGCATATAGCACAAGTTATCAAGCTTAGCTCGGAATACAAGTCCATGAGCTAAGAAGTTAACTGAGCACTTCTAACGTACTCCACATCAACAGGTTAAAAATGAGAATCTACAAACTATACATCTTAATTATCATTGCTTGTATAGCTCTTTTTATTATCTCAGGACCAATGTTTCTGTCTTTTTCTGTTTCTTCTGCTTGGGTTATTTTTCAGCAACACAATAGAAATACAAACCTTCCGCATTCTTACTACTAACTACATGGAGATGCCAATCGGTTCTGGAGAAATACTCGTATCTACTTCTGAACAACATCACAGTTTGCAAGTATCATGCACAATCCCTTAACTTGAAAACGGTTTCAATCCGTATTTTCCATTCTACCGAGTCTATGCTTAGTCCACTTATCATTCATGCCTTTCCATATGCGGTTTCAGCCCGCCGTGCAGCAGCAGCGGCAGCATTGTCATCATCATTTTCATGAAAAACCTCGGCTTTATTTTCTTTCTTTTGGCATATCATTATTTGCACCCATGCAAGAAAATCGAGGAGAGTGAAAAATGCAAAAAAAAAACAAACTCTTCAGATGCCCTCGGTATCTTCTCAATTGAATGGACACAGGTTGATGGAAGAAAAAAATTGTATGAGAACAAGGAAAAAAAATTAGGAGGTTTGATTTCTTCTCCTAGAGAGCGCTCTTCCCAAGCGCCTAGGACTAGCCAGCGTTTCTTCCTTTTTTGACGCTACCAGTCACCCAGATTTTTTGTGATTTCCACACCCAACTCCCGGAATCCAGCCACAGCCTACTTTACTTTTTGTTTTTCATATCCTCTTCATCCCCGTCCAATTTTAGGACATTTATCGGGAGGACATGGCCTTGGTGACAAGGCGCTTAAGGGCGAGCTCCTGCTTCTTCAGGTCCTCAGCGGTGGCATCGGTAAGCTCGAGCTGAGCCATAGCCTCGCTGATGGTCTGCTCGATCTTGTCCTTCTGGCCACGCTTAAGCTTGAGGGACAGAGTGGGGTCGGAGACAATCTCCTCAACACGGCCGATGTAAGACTCAAGCTGCTGCTTGGCCTCGAATCGCTTGCTGAAAGCCTCGTCGTTGGTCTTGAAGGCCTCAGCATCGCTGATCATCTTCTCAATCTCGGTGGTAGAAAGCTTGCCAACAGAGTTGGAGATGGTGATGTTGGCACTGCGGCCAGAGGTCTTCTCGGAGGCAGTGACCTTGAGAATACCGTTGACGTCGACCTCGAAGACGACCTCGAGAACGGCCTCACCAGCCCTCATGGGAGGGATGGGAGCAAGGGTGAACTCACCCAGGGAGGTGTTGTCCTCGCAGTTGACACGCTCACCCTGGAAAACGGGGAACTGAACGGTCTGCTGGTTGTCGGCAACAGTGGTGAAGGTTCGCTTCTTCAGGGTGGGGACAGTCTGGCCACGGCTGATGACAGGAGCGAAGATGTTACCCTCCATGGCGACACCGAGGGACAGGGGGACAACGTCGAGCAGCAGAAGGTCGGCGGTCTCAGCGGAAGTAGCCTTTCCGGAGAGGATACCAGCCTGGACGGCGGCACCGTAGGCGACGGCCTCATCGGGGTTGATGCTCTTCTCGAGCTTCTTGCCGTCGAAGAACTCGGACAGAAGCTTCTGGATCTTGGGGATACGGGTAGAACCACCGACGAGGACAATCTCCTCAACGGCGCTCTTCTCCATGGCGGCATCCTTGAGGACCTGAGCAACAGGCTCGAGGGTACCAGAGAAGGCCTTGGCGTTGAGCTCCTCGAAACGAGCACGGGTGATGGTCATGGTGAAGTCCTCGCCGTCGAAGAGAGAGTCAATCTCAATGGTGGCCTGGGCACCGCTGGAGAGGGTACGCTTGGCACGCTCGCAAGCAGTACGGAGTCTTCGGAGAGCACGGGGGTCGTTGCTGGGGTCCTTCTTGGACTTGCGGATGAACTCCTTCTTGCAGTGGTCCAACAGGTTGGTGTCGAAGTCCTGGCCACCCAAGTGGGTGTCACCAGCGGTAGCCTTGACAGTGAAGACACCGCCCTGGATGCTGAGCAGGGAAACATCGAAAGTACCACCACCAAGATCGTAGATCAGGACGTTACGCTCCTTCTCAGTCTTGCCAGAGCCCAGACCGTAGGCAATAGCGGCAGCGGTAGGCTCGTTGATGATACGGAGAACATCAAGGTCAGCAATCTGACCAGCGTCCTTGGTAGCCTGACGCTGAGCGTCGTTGAAGTAGGCAGGGACGGTGACGACGGCCTTCTTGACCTTCTTGCCGAGCTTGACCTCAGCAATGTCCTTCATCTGTAGTAGGTTTCTGTTAGAAAAGTTTTTCATGCAAATGCAGATCACCTCTGCCTCAGTGACGCCACTGTGCAAAGAGAGAGAGCAAAACATACCTTTCCGAGGACCATGGCGGAGATCTGGGGAGGAGTGAAGGTCTTGGTCTCGCCGAGGTACTCAACCTGGACGAGGGGCTCGCCCTTTCCACCCTCAATGACGGTGAAAGGCCATGACTCAATATCCTTCTTGACGGTAGGGTCATCGAAGCGGCGACCGATCAGACGCCTTGAATGGAAAAAAAAAAATTGTCAGCAAAGCGAATTTCTTGTGTAGCAACAGCAGCAAACTCTGCAGATTGCGAAGAATAGAGTACTCACTTGGCATCGAAGACGGTGTTTCGGGGGTTCATGGCAGCATTGTTCTTGGCAGCCTCACCAATGAGACGCTCCTTGTCGGTGAAAGAGACGAAGGAGGGGGTGGTGAAAGAACCCTGCTCGTTGGCAATGATCTCGACATTGGTACCCTCGTAGATGGCAACGCAAGAGTAGGTGGTACCTGTGAAGCGAATTCGAGGTCAGTGATTGAGATTCGAAATCAATTTTGAGGATTGGCGATTAAATTGAGAGCAGAGAAAAGCGGGAAAAAGTTTGCTGTTGTCTCTGTCTCTTTGTCTCTCTCTCTCTCCGGTTTTGCTCGCTCAAAGAGGGGCATCTCGACGAAGAGGATAGAAAAAGTTTTGTGCGCAACGTACCCAAATCGATGCCGATGGCACCGTCGTACTGTTCTTCCGCCATTTTTTTGATGAGTTTGAAGAAGAAAAAGAAGAAAAAAGGTCCTTCAAACTTGTGTGAAGGAAGAGAGTGAAGGAGGAGATGGGTATGGAGAGAAGGGAAAAGAAAAAATGAGCAACGTGGGGTTGGTAGCAAGAAATACTTCCCACACCACAAATTTCTGCCGCTCTACCGTTTGCTGCGAACTTTTTTTTTTTTTTTTTTTTCTCCTCGCAGTCGGCAAGCAAATGTGCATCCAAGGTGGGGCAAGCGATAAGTCTACCATAGGTCCCTCATTCCGCTAGGCCTATCTAGGACAAGCCGTTTGTTAAAATTTTCTTTCGCCGCTGGAGCTTTTGGGCCAATCAGTGGCGATGCAGATGGAAATTTTTCGTGGGCGCTTTTTTTCGCCATTGAGGCGTTGCCGGGGCGGGATGTTGATGTCCGATATATGGAGGCTGCGGAGTGCACGATATAAACAGTTGATATTCCCATTTCATATTAGATAGATTTTGTGACTATTGAAAGGACAGTGTGGTGGTGAAGCTATGCGCGACAGGTTTTTCTCCCAGACTCCAATTGCTGTCTTGTGCCTCAGAACAGCCAGATGAAGACAACTTTTACAGCCCCTTGGCCTTTGCCAGAATTTCCACCGTCTCTGTGACACCCTCAGCTAGAGACATGCCCTTGGGCTCCCAGCCGAGATACTTCTTGGCCCTCTGCGCGTCTCCCCTCGAGCTGTACGCATACGTGCTTATGACGAGGTTGTCTCCCTTCAGCTCTCTCAGCTCGGCGAGGCTGTATTGCTTAACTGTCACCTTATTGCTGTAGCCTTGCTTCTTGATTTCTGCCGCAACCTTCTCTGCAAGCTGTAAATAGGAATGTGTGCCACTGGCGGCAAAGAAGAAGCCTCTGATGCCGAAAATCTCCGGGTTGCTGTTCTTCGAGGGATCTTGGGTCGCATCGACAAGCTTGACATACAAGTCTGCTAGGCTGTGAACGTCGACGTGGTCCCACTCGGTCTTCCCAGGCTTGACCACGGGCACGTATCCGTCGGAGAGACCCGCCTCTATGAGATATGGTAGCTGGACGCTCGTCTGGTTGCCGACGCCAGATCCTTTGCCGTAGATGAGAGGCGGACAGATGATTGTGGTCTTGACTGCATCAGAAGCGGCACCTTGGATAATCTTATCAACATCTCTGTGGAGTCCATCATCGGGAAAGTTCAACATGCGGTCGACGCCGTCGAGATCGTTGTAAATGTACTCGGGGTGGGGGCCTTCTCCTGCTCTGTTGTTGACATGGTCGTACCAGGTCAGGATGGCTGTGCCAGACAGGTGCAACCAGTATCCAGGCTTTTCCGCTGTGTGGCCCTCCTTCAGGCCCTTGGCAATCGCGCGAGCACTAATGGCGTGATCCGACGAGTCTGCGGTGTCTGGATTGTGTTATGAGCTGAAACTCGTAATCATGGTGTTTGTCTCGTGCAACATACGGATAACGATATCTGCCTCGGCGGCAGCCTTCTCAATGACGTTGGTATCCTCGAGAGCACCATAGGCAAATTCGACGGTTGGATATTTCGCCTTTACTAGCTGGGCACGTGCTTCGTCGCGAACGAGAACGGTGTATTCGTAGTCCTTGTGAGCGTTGTAGACGTAATCAAAGACCGTGCCTCCGACGTATCCTGGCTGGTATTAGCTCGCTCTTGAACTCATCAACGCTGGGGTTGTCAGTTGCCAATTACCGGTAACGCCAGTCCTGTTAGTATCAATTGGTCTCTGCGTTAGCTGATCCAAGCTCCAATAAGTGACAAATAGGCGGATAATCATACACAAACACTTTGACAGCCATGATGCGCGAGAGTCGAATTCTTTATGCGTCAATGATAGCAAAGTGTACACCTCGAAAGAGCCAGAGAAATTCCAGACTGAGAACAGCAGCACCCTATACAATCTAGGCAGCAAAGGCTCAGCAAGGGTTTATATAGTTTCCATGTGATTTATGCACGCTTCCCGCGTAACACTCCTGCCAACTCCGGTTCAACAGAGCTGCGCGTAATCTTTCTCAAACAAGGAGGGTGGCATCCAGGAGCTCGCTGCGCAGACATCTCACAGGGTGATGCCTATCATCGCCAGGCCCCGGGGCCGCTTCCATCGTATTCCATCTAGGTATTTTGCGGTGCAGATTGGTCAATACTTGTATATGTTGGCCAACTCAATGTGACAGATGATATCGAGCATTGAGAAGCATCCAGCTACTGGCACTAGACTGTTGCGAAGTGGACATGCCTCCTTTTTAAACGGCGCCCTTGGCCTTTTCTCAGCTGATGGTTGCAGCAACTTCTAAATCTTTATGGTAATAGTATCCCCACGTTGGTAGCCCCTGCATTGGCAGCTCGCGGAAGCGCGGTAAAATTACTACAAATGGACAGTGATCAGTGGAATCGTGAACCTTGAAGATAAAGCGCGGCTATGCCCAAAAGAATATCTACATGTATGTATGAGGGTTTGCTACCAAGCAAAGTTATGTTGTCAAACTTGATTTCGCATGCTGTACCTCGGAATCTACTGCCTCGAATCGGACGCTTCTCGGATTGAGCATTTTCAGCCCCACCTCTTTGCACGCAGTAGCAGCCAACAGCCAAGCGGTACCGAAATACTGCAATGCATGTCCCTGCTCCGCAGCGGCTCTCGCAATTGGCAAGGTGAGACGTCGGTGCAAGAGCCACTTGAACAGTTTCGTTTCTTTTGTCGTAGTATCACTAATGGACCTGCGGATTAGAGTTTGGGCGTGTGTGACCAGGGCCTTCTTCTGCATGCGTTTCCTACCCCTCCATCCAAATCTCCTCACTTTCTGAGATCTGCTCCCTACCCAAGCTTCGGAAACATTGAGATTTGCCACCAAGGATCAATAACCATCATCCGTAACCATGCCTGACGACTACACCTACAAAGGGCTCTGGCACCAATAGCCAGGTTTGTCATTTCCCATCCCCTGCCTCGATCAGAGATGGATCTCGAACTAACGCGCCTCGCAGGGTAACCACTACTGCGCGCGGGATTACGGCAGCAGTGCTTCCAACTCCAACTCTTACCACTACTCCAACCAGTAATACTACCTACATGTACACACGAGTCAGTGATTCAAGGCCAGGAAACTGACAAAAAGGCTGCAGGGACGGTTCTTACTACTACTCCAACTCGGACGGCAGCACGTACTACAATGATGGTGCTGGGAACTCCACCTACACTGCTCCTAGCGGAGACCCGACCTCACAGTCTGGAGGTAGCACACAAAAATAGAGAGCCAACAGTCTACTGAAGCTTGATTCGTAGCAAAAATCTAGAACAGAGGCTCTGAGATGGGCTGTTTGGACGAGGGAATGACTGGTAGTACCAAACTTGGTGCGGGGTTGCATGGCTTGTAGCTGTTACACGAGATTATCATCATAGTGCAAATGAATCAATTGACTTCTTCTCTACATACAAATAATAACCACTATGTAAACCTTCCTCCCTTCGAAATTTCACCTCTCCCGTCAAATACCACTGAATCCTGAGCAGGCATCGTATGTTAAATCCTCCTAGATCCATCAATGCCGCAATGTTATATCAAAAAGCAAAAAATTCCTCTTAGCCTAGAAAAGCGAGCGACTGAGTGAGCAAACAAGCAACAATTATGTCCTTCCAGTGAAGAAGAGAAAGTAGAAAAAAAAAAAAGGAAAGTAAAAGTCCCGACAAAGTTAAAAGAAGAAAATGAAAAGTTGAGAAAGAAGATGAAAAGAAAAAGATGAAAGGCTCAGAGATGTAGAGTCGTCAATTGAAATTGCACTTAGATTTTGCCCGAAAAGTGAAGGCTCAGGAAGACGGTCAAGACCGTGTAGACAAAAGTCTCGACGAGAAGCTGCTGTATAAGCATGCCTCGCTGCTCTTTGGTAAAGCCCTTCATCTCGCCGAGAGCATACCAGCAAACAGTCGAGTCGAAAATGCCGAACAAAGCAAGAATTCCAATCAAAGGGAAAACAATAGAGGAAATGACTATTCCCATGAACAAGATTTTGCGCTTGTGCTCTGCTTCTTCAGGAGATCGGCGACGTTCCATGATTTCTCCGCGAGCGGACTCGATCAGCTCAACTTCCGAGGGAGTCAAGACGCCTTCAGTCTCGGTTCTGGGCAAGGCCCATTCCTGGCCGTTGTTGGTCTGAGATTTGGCCGGTGGAGCTTTGATTCGGAGACATTTGGCTCCCAAGGCAGCTGCAGCTCTGAAGTGTCCAAAGCGAGGAGCTGCTTTGGGCTTTGGGCGGAGAGACAGCTTCGATCTCAAAGAGCCCAGAATGGCCGAAGACGGAGTTGGCGTATTGTCGGCAAAGTCAAACTCAACTGTAGCCGTGGGGTTAACGAGAAAACTACCCTGGGAACATTGAGTAACTTACCAGCTGGTCGAGTATTGGTTATTTGATCTCGAAACAGTGCCGTAGAGGGGCGTGTCACGGGAGGATTGTTGGAGCCACCAAAGCGGTAGCCGCCAGAACAAGATGGGCCGGCCTCGTTGGAGTAGCCTGACCAGAGAGGTCCAAGTCTGGCTCTGTGGGCAAAAGCGTCGGCTTCATCTGCGTTGCGGTACCTTTGAGAGCCATAAGTTTTGGCTGCCTCTTTCAAGTCGATCAGTTCGAATGGCAAACGAGAAAATGCGTTGGTAGAATCTTCGCTAGGCAGAATCGTATCCTTAATTCGAGTTTCGCAAAATGCCTGGTCAAACTCATTTACTGTCTCATCAGGGCGAATGAAACAGGGCCAAACAGTCTCGGAAGAGTCGGTTCGCGTAAGGGCCAGAGTAGTGTCCGCCTGAGGTTGAATGATGCGACTCGGGCTTGGAGTCGGGTAATCATCAGGGCCATCTTCCAGCTCCGTAATACGAGCTGATGTCTTCCAATTGGGAGGAGTCAAGAAAGGATTAGAAGGGCGCCTGATGGGAGCCGTAGCCCGAATAGGAGGCTGGAAAGGCTCGGGAACAGCTCTCTGCTGACGTTGATTAACAGCCGGGAATTCGTAGTGATTACCAGCACGAGGTTGATCCTGAGCAAAAGTTTCGGCATAGAAGCCTTCAGGATGATGGATTGGCTGATTACGTCGGTGCGAAATTTTGCCCGGGACTCTGTAGCTCTTGGGTGGTGGACAAGGGTTTTCTTCAATAATGTCAGAGACATCCGCGAGGCTGCTGCCTGTGCCCTTGATGAGATTGAGGTCGGAATGGTCTGGAGCTCTGCCAACAGGTCCAGTGGTCACAGTTCGCCAGTCGGCATCTGTGTCAGCATCAGTGCAGAGTTGTGGCCAGCATTCACCATTTCCTGCCTTGGCAGTCTTTGTGCTGCGCTCACTACCAGGTTGGTGTTGAGCTCTTTGGCCTCTAGTTACCGGAATTCGGACCTCATCATCAACCTTCTAGGTAGACAAAACCGCGGTCGGATTGTAAAAAGCAGTCTGATTAGGCGTAGTAGACTGCTTTGACTCAAAGTTTGTTCGCATGCTCAAGCCTCTTTCCTTGTTCGTGGCGATGGGGCGAGACGTAGAGTTTTTGGTTTCTCGTGTACTGGATGGCTGCAGAAAGGTGGAGTAGGCTTCTCCATCATACTTGAAACGATCTGTACTCTCGCTGCTCGAAGTCTTGGAGTTGACTCGATAGTCTCTGCGTGCTGTTGGCTGAGATGGAACCATCTCCAGAACTTCTGCTCCATAGACAGGCTGTCTGGCACATTCAGAGGGCTCATGGTAAACAGAAGCTGGGCTGATAGTATATTCTTCATGCTCTTCCGAGCGGCCAGAAAAACCAAACGCGTCGAATGGAGTGCCGGGTCTCTTGAAAGGCGGCTTGATTCCTTTGCCTTCAACGTCACCGCCGTCATCTTCATCGTCGGTGTCAGGGACGAGTCCGAGACTCTTCAACGTGACTTTGGGCTTTGGGCGTTTGTTGGTTTGGTAATTAGGCTCATCGTCACCAGCGATGGTCTCCCACTCAGAACGCGCTTCATCGCGATCAAGTCGGGAAGATGGGTTTTGGCGAGTAAGGTTACGTCCCATGCTCCATGGTGATTGGGATGACTGTGAAGCTGTATGCTCCGAGATAGGAGCCTGATTGCCATCTTGCTTCGAAAAATTATCGTAGGGAGAATCATCATGAAGCGGATTGTCATGCAAAGTAGACGTAATAAATGGGTCATCGCTTGGATGAGCTCCGGCGACAGCCTGCTGGTAGCTAGCAGGAATATGAACGATGGTTGGTTTACTCCATCCGTATCTTGGGATAGAGGACTTTCGTTTGTTAGTATTGCGAACCAACTATGACCTAATAAGAAGAGAGCATACCTCGGCAAAGTTGATGGGCATGCTGGGCTATTGCATAACTCGGAAGCCTCCAGTGTCGGGTACTGATACTTTGAACTCTTGTTCTTGATGATAACTTTGGGAGAGCTGAAAAGCGAGATGCAATTTGATGCCTGAAAGAGAGAGAGGGCTTGAGGTCGAATGACTCGCTTTTTGAGAACTCTCCAAAGATGCGAGATGAAAGTCTCAGAGAAGATGCTGATGGCTTGGATAGAATTACTCCGATAGCTTCTGAATCGCGAGATGACTGATGAAGGCAGCAATCTTGCTTGAATTGCGGTGATGGCTCTGGTGATGATTATGATAACGATAGGATGAAAATAGGATGAAGAAGTTCCAGAGCTCAGGTCTAAGCTCAGAACTAAAGAAAATAATAAGTGTGAAGAACACGTGCACGCGTTGCGTGATGTGAATTATCAGCGCGAAGCAGCGTGGCTGATGAGGTGAAAAAAGAAAGAAACTCGGTTAGTAGGTGTGTTGAGCGAAAGAGAAGGGGGAAGTTCCTGAGGAATAATTTGAGGGGGAAAGCAACGGCTGAAAGCTGGCCAGCTGGCGGAGGGGAATGAGTGATTGTGGGCACAGCCAAACTTCAAGCGAAAGCCCTAACTGATCTGTTTATTTCCAGGCATAATTGGTTTGCAGCAGACGCGTCTGATTTCATGATTTCATTGCACGCAACTGTATGATTTTTCCACGCTCGACGCGATTTGCCTCATCTTGGCAGTGATATCTCTTGATCCACCTGCGTATTGGCACTGCAGCAGATTACCAATGGGGCCATTATGGAATTTTCCGGCCCTTTGTTCTTAATAGGGGATGTAATCACCAACTGCAACACAGTCATGAATAGCTTCATCTCTTGGATTTCTAAATCTGATTCATATACACATCACAGAATTCGGGGTGGATCGATAATTTCGTGTAGATGATAGCATCATTGCTATTTGGGTGTGGAGTAAATGGGCCGCTATTACCTATCAGTAATAGTTTTGTTGCTATTTCTGACGCCCATAGCTTTTTTTCCAAGGATCCAACGGTTGGTGCTGACACTAGCTGCCTTTGTCTACCATGTAGGCTATATTGATGTCTGCTCTATTCAAAAGACGCTCTTAGAACCAAAGAGAATTCCCCGTGGCACAGTTGCTGCATTGTGGGGAAACGGTCCTGGGGCGGAATGTGAGATGCAAGGAGTTTGGCATGATACATATACTGCAACCCAATTGGATCATCAATGCACTTGATTTAAACCTATGTACACGTAGGTAATCTAATGCTCGGTCTGAACAGTTGCTGGCCATATATACCTACCATTACTTGTAGTTGTTTGCTGTGCTACTGGACATGATGTTGATGCTAGTGCTGTTACTAGCACGACAACCACCTTGGACTAAAACATGGAGCCCTTCAAGCCCTTCAAGCCTTTTTACCTTATCCGTCCCGCAAGCCAATCAGCCCGCCAGGGTCTTTTGGCTCTGCCAATCGCCCACTCTGCTAAATCGGCGTCCGAGGTATTATGGGGACTTAAGGGAACCGAATCCCTGCGATTGGTCTCGCGCGATGCTAGAGCACTGGAAGTTTGTCACTCTCTTACACACTAGCAGCGACAGCACGGGCAGGGCCCCTGTTAAATCACGCTCAAGATCTTCGAGCCCGACTCTGTCTTAGAGTCCAACCGTCGGCTCTGCTCTTTTCAATACGGGCTCCATCGGCGAAGCCAAAAAGACCGCCTCGGCCAGCCCAGTTCTCTGTCTCCCTCTTTGCCATTACAGGCGGCATTGTGGCTGGCCTCAGAGGCATTCGCTATGGCTTTGCCCGGTCGATCGTCGCGTTGGGACGTGCTTCCAGATGAGATCGTGCTCCAGATCATTAGCTGTAAGAGCTCCACCTGCCCCTCCACTATCTTGATGTCTCCGTAGATTGGGAAAACGAGGCCAGTGCTCATTGTTTGTGTCTTGTCTTTGCCGCCATTAGATCTCGATCCTTTCCACATAACTCGACTGCAGCTCGTATCGCGAAAGCTGCAGAAGCTCTGCCTCGACGACGAGCTGTGGAAGCGTCGCTGCTTCGAGGACTCATCGTGGTACCAACGACTTAAGAGCCGCCGGCGACTTGTCACTCCCAGCGACTCCGACTCCGAGCCTCGAGATGGAGTGGTGCAGCTAAACCCAGAAGCCAGCGGCGACACCGGCGCCGGCGATGAAGAGATTGTTAATGGAGATGAAAACAGCCCCAAAGCGGCGCAGAGGCGACAGCGGAGCCACCGACGGCAAGAGATCCAGGACATGGCCAACTGGGATCCATCATTCCCCAGCGAACGTCTGTGCTGGTACAGCGAGTATGTTCACCGGAATGGACCTGCTTGTGTCAACTGGCTGCAGACGCCTCGAATACGTGAACGGGGCGTCGAGGCCATCATCGAGGCCCGAGGGATGGAGCTGTACTACCCATACGACGGAAACGACGGCCTGGGCACCATGCTGGCCGTATCGCCGCTCGACGATGGCTCGATATGTTTGTGGGACGTCAAGGGGACGCGCAACAAGCCAGGCTCGATTCTCGCAACAAGCAAATCCGATATACTCTTCATCGATGGGCCAGGAAGCCAGAATACCAGACGTTCCAAGAGAGTCGACACAGGGGTTACGGAGTGCGTTAGCGTAGACAACCACAGGCATCGTGCATATTTTGCCGTACAAAGCCGTGAGTAGATGAGCTGAGATGCCATGCCGGGATTAGCGCATCGAATTGACGGGTACTGACATCTGACTGCAGATTTGATCGAAATCGACCTCGAACGCCTAGAAGTCGTGAGCCGCGAATCATTTGAATGGTCCATAACCGCACTCTCCAAGATTCAAAACGATGTTCCCCTTACGGTTGGAACGTCTCTCGGCATCCATCTATTCGACCCTCGTGCAAGAGCTCGGCCGGCGCAAGTTGCCGTAGAACGCGTGGATCAGAACGATATATTCAAATCAATATTCGACCCGACGCCGTTGCTCCCCTATGCGCCGCTTTCTCAACCTACTCCCGTCAGCATTGTACATCTTCCACTGCATGGAGCGCCAGATTTAGTATCACACGACATCTACGTGGCCGGTAGATTCTCCAACATATTACATTACGATCGCCGCAAGTTTCCCGTCATCATGGACTCAATTTACTCGGGAGCTACGATCAACAGCATGGCGGCAACGCCCCATCCATTCTCCTGTCTGGATAGCGAAATCAGACGGCAAGGCGAGCTCAGCGCAGAGCAGGTAGCCAAGTCCAAAGAGGGCAGCGAAGGCTGGACGCTGGTGGCCGGGGGAACATATAAGTCTAAGGGTTCTCTTGAAATCTTTGGTCTCAGCCAGGCGGTTGTCGACCCCGTGGGTCGCGAGATGATGCTGAATTCTACCATGAAGAATAGGCAAACTGCCGCCTCCGCTTCAATCCTGTCAGTCGCCAATCACGGCAGCAAAATTGTGTTTTCAGATGGAGCTGGCTCTATCAAGTGGTTTGAGAGAGACGGCCTAACAGAGTGCCGCCGGCTAAGGATTGGCCACTGCGAAGGAGACGATGCCCCATCGCTGTTCGCCTCCATGAGCGCAGCCGGCGAGCTCGCGCGCAAGCTCGTGTCGACCAAGTCAAGAGAAGCCCCTGATCAGCCCAATGATGACAACGTTTTGTTCTGGACGGGTGAACGATTGGGTCTGGTCAGCTTCACGCCAAGGCCACTATATCATTCCAAGGACTTTGAAGACGAGCCGGACCCTTACGCTTTGGCCGAGGAGGAAGAAAGAAGACGCTATGCAGATCAGATGCGCGAGGCCTTGGATTTCCAGGCGGATGAGGTTAGATACATGAATACATTTGGAAGCGGAGCTCCTCGCGAATGAGTAGATGAGGTTTACATAGCATACATGCACCTAGGTATTACGATTACCTACCAGGTTTATGAATGGTGGACGCCGTGAGTAGAGGATGGAGGGCCATAACGACACTTGGCTAATACCCGTCCAACAGAAAAGGGGACAGATTGTATAGCCCTACGTTTACATACATATAATTAATTTCATGCCTAGCGAACAAATCCTGACTATCTAACAGAGGCGATCAAATGACCGGTAATAGCCACAATAAATTAGTGATAATGAATATCATTTCACCCAATGGAAACAAACCCCTCCGGCGCATAAACTTGCTGCGACGCTGCATGTGCCTTGGCTTTACAATCGATCCTGTGATTCGCATTTATATTGGATAACATGATGCTGATAGGACAGCTAACCCGCGCCTTGCACGAAGGCTGCAGACCGCAGACTACATGTACATTACTCGACTACCAACCAGCAGCCAGCTCCCAAGCTAGGTAATGAGGCATGCGAGCCAATGGGATGAAGCACGCTATCATCCGTTTTGCTATAGACGAGAGAGCTGGCTGGTGACTATACGTGTACCTTGGCACTGAGGTGGAAACCGACGCTGAAATGGAGATTCTGCGACTTGGTCGCAAACATCATTGGGCTGACCTCCGCCTACAAGGCCCAGGTTGCCTTGCCTCACACTGTTAACCCTACTACTAATACAAACCTGTAGTTTCTTTGCTTTTCCAAGGCCTGATGCAAATCTTTTAAGATGACTGTATGTTTACCCTGTATATACACGTTCAGTGGGCAGGGCAGCCAATCATGGCATGTTGAGTGCTGCATCATGTCCTATGACGACGGCCAGCGCTGTGCTTTTCTCCCGTCGACAAATCGGCCTAGAGAGTTGACGGCACGAGAGGAAATGGCTCTCTTTGTGTGGCTGGTCCATAATTACGCGGCACCATTATGGGAAAAAGGAAGTAAAAAGTCAAAGCAAAGCAAAGGCAACAGAAAATCCACAAACGGGGAGGTGGCGAACGATTACGGTTACGGGTGGAATAGTCTACCTAGTAGAGTACCTAGATTGTGACCAAGAAAACACGTCGAGTCGAGAGAGGATGATGTTGGATTTTGGCGTTTTTCCATGGCCGGTCATCTGACACGAGACGCAACAAGACTTGCATATCGGTAGCTTGGAATTTGACTGCCGGCAATCGCTGAGCACAGAGAGAGAAGAAGAAAAGTCGGATGCAGATTGCAGACTGCGATGCGAGGAGAGCAGATGGCAGTAGGCTGTGTGTAGAACTGCTACTGCTAGTACTGCTGCTACTGCTACTGCTACTACTGCATATTGCTTCAGGTTGGTATCACAAAGCTCGCATTGGATGGGCGGACTAGGGAACAGCATGAGCAAGGATTCCATCGTTGCCAACGCTGCTGCATCGGCCTCCACCGCGGTGCAGACAACGCCGCTAGCAGGACCAGCGTCTTGTAGTGCCATTGTGTACAGCATGTGCGTTTATTGCTGCTGCCAGTCAGTGCTCATGCAGAAGAGGAGCCTTTGTTGTAGCCACTGAGTCCTTGCTTGGAGGCGGCTCAAGGCCTGAGTCTCTCCCGATACGACTTCCTTGTAGCAACGGTACAGTAGCACTCACCCACCTACTGAGAAAAGCTTCATTCCTGGCAAGACTCGCAAAATCGACGCCGTTAGATGGTAGCACAAAAGATTCTGCATCCCCAACTGCCGTTGATGACTGGCAGCCATTAGCGCCAGTCCCATGTAAGTGCTCTTACTTGTTGGCCTCGATCACCAAAAGCCCGCCAAGTATCCGAACTCCGGATCCAGAGACCCCTTCGCCGCGGGCGCGCCCTCCAAGGCTCCGTTTGATTCTGCTCTGCTCTGGCTCACGTCAATGGAACAGCGAAGAAAGTCGACTGTGCCGGTCTGGCCTGTTCTCAGTATCGCCGCACGCAGAGAGCGAGCCTGGAACCCACTAAGCGGCCCTTGGTGCATGTCTGCTGCATCCTGCAGCTGCATACACCGCTGGACGGTCCAATGAGGGCGGCCCACAGGGCGTGGATTCTGTCTAGCAGCGGGCCATGGACGGGGGATGGGGATATTTCTCGTCGTTTTTTCTCTCTCGAGCCAGCTGCAAGGATCGGGGCAGATGAGGGGCGGAAGAGGGGCAAAGACCATCCGGTGAGTCTCGGCGAAGAGGCACGAGAGAAGCCCTTGTGACGAGTGACGAGCAGAGAAGAGATATAGGCAGACGGAAGAGTTTGCACGGAGAGCATTGTGCCAGTAGCGAGCCTCAGAGCACTACAGGCAGCTGCTCCTACGCGTATGGAGTGCCATGGAGCCTGGAACAAGGGCCATTGTATACCCGTATGGGGCCTGGTAGCATCACAGTGGACGGTAGTAGCATCACGGAGGCCAGAAGAGCAGACGGAAGGCCAGACGACAGCCCTGGATCGGATGATTTGGCCCATGCCTCACTGATCGTCCCAGAGGTGGGGGCACAGCTTCGGCACAGGCAGTTGGCATTGGCTTCGTTGCAGGACCTGGTCCCTGCTAACGTCCATTGATCCTGTTCACTCTTGAAGCTGGCGGCAGGGCTAGTGCTGTAACAATGGCAGCCTGTAGACTCGAGGCTCGATCAAAGTCCACCAGCTGCTCTTCTCGCCACCAGATCTACAAACAAAGGAAGCCGTCAAGTTTAGCCTCCCGAGAACAGCCCCAGAAGATGATCGTATGGGACCAGCTGCTAGCCCACCGGGTAGGCGTGTCTTGGGGAGGGTGTAGAGATTGCAAGCTGCGATTTGGCGTATCTACAGCATCTGCCTTTGTGCCAACTTACACGCTGCCTCTCCCACGTTCCTTATCTGCATCAATCAGTCCATCTATCAATCAAACACTCTTGCCACCAGTCAATCCCGCCCAGGCTGCAGAATCAAAGAGAACGATTGCATCATCCGCAGTCGTTCGCTTCGTCGGGACTCTCTCTCGTCGTCGCTCTGGACATTGGCCAAACACCCTCGCAGGGCACACACCACCACCATAACCTTGCACACACACAAGCCCGCACTCGCATATCACGTCTGTCCACGCTGGCTGGCATAAAAGGGCCAGCGAGGCGATGATCCAAGACGTGCGCCGCTTGTCGTGTCCATCTGCGGCTGGCTTTTGGCATGCAGGGTTTCTCCAGCCGGCGCCCGTGATTTGACGACAATTGCCTCTCGTTTTTTTTTTTTTTCGTTTTCTGCTTCCGGAGACCAAAAAGGTCCAGGACCCTTCGCTAATACTACGCGCTATGCTGGTTGCTGCATGACTGACTGAGGCGATTTTCTTGGTCTGCGCTTTCCACCCGTGGCACACCTTTGCCCCCCTGTTCCTTCGCTTTCTCAGCATTGCAGATTATTCTTGGATGCCGTTTTCTTTCTTTTCTTTTCCTTCTTACCCTTTTCTCTCTTTTCTTCCCTTTGCTGGCCTTTTCTCCTCCTTTCTTTGGCCCTTTCCCTCCTCAGCTACTCTTACGGCAGCCGGGAGGTGATTCCAGTTTGTGATTCAGGTAACCTACATCCCTCCAGTTCCTCCCTGCCCGTCAAAATCCACATTCATCCCACACCGACGGTGGCGGACGGACTCTGCTGCTCCGTGACCGGTGTCTCCAGTGGCCAGACAACTCAGTCTGCCAGCTCACAACTTCTCCCATCCCACACTCTCCAGCTCCCGCCAGAGCCCACTCGTCGTTCATTCGGGGAGAGCACCAGCGCGTGAGATCGAGAGGGTGAAGAAGAAGAAAGCGGTTAACGTTAACACGACGAAGCAGGACCTTGCATCGCACCGGCTGTCCAGCAGCGGAGCAACAGCCTCCTGGCCACTACATCGCCCACGCCAGCCAATCCATCCTCTTCAACGGTCTGGGCGAGCGGTCTCCTTGGTGGGTGGGCTGGAGCGTATGCTGTTCAATGGCCTTCTGGGTGGTCGGCGGGGGAAATCCGCTTGGTGACGCTGCCGCCTCCTCATCCTCCACTCCTGCTGGTCAGGTGGCAGCGGCTTACATCAAGCGCGGCAGCTACTCGAGCAGCTATTCGAGCAGCAGCCGCATTGGAGGCGGCCGCAGCAGCAAACGACGGGTTGTCTATGCCGACGGGAGCGCTGCCACCTCCGCCTGCAGCGACGCAGGCTGCTATGGCATCACCAAGCGGCCGCGCCTGGACGACTGGGGCCGCGTGATCGGCTACCATGGCAAGGGCCATCATGCTGCCGGCTGCGAGTTTGAGCATTCCGGCGGCGATCCTGGCCCTTCAGCTCCCTCGACAGCAGATGGATCTGGATCTGGCTCCGTCCATGTCAAGAACCTCGCTTTTCTGGTGATCCGAGAGCGGGAGCCGTCTCCGCCGCCGACGCCGCCCCCACCGTCGGGCCTGTCGCCGGACCACCGGGGCGGGTTCCCACCTCCACCACATCTAGCACCCGGCATTGGCTTCGGTCCATCGTCGTTTGGCTCGGCGGCCCCGATGGAGCGTACGCAGTCTGGTCTGTCCATATCGTCCGACACGTCTGCCGTGGACTCCCCGTGTGTCCAGGGGGGCGACTGCGAGCATCATGATCACCCGCCGTTTCTCAGTGATCTCGCTGCTGCCCGACTCGTGCGAAAGCATGTGGCTGATATTCGCCGGTGGAAGCATCGTGACTCACAACATGGCCGCATTCTCAAAGCCTTAATCAACCCCAAGTCTAAGGCGGCAGATTTCCCGCTCGACAACGACGCCCTGCGGAGCATCTTCTCTGCCGCAAACGAGCTCTTCTTCGCCAACAGGCTGTCACAAAGGGTTACATGGGATTGGAGCCACCCGGCCAGCCCGCAGTACGAGAGCCATATTGTCGGCACGACCGCTCTACGCCGAAGCATTCGTCTAGGAGGATACGAGACGCTCATCGTTTTATCATCGCCAATCCTCAAAGACACCAAATACAATCGCCGCCTTCTCATCTCCACCTTCTTACACGAAATGATTCACAGCTTCTTGTTCATCACGTGTGGCATCAAAGCCCGACACCATGGCGGCCACACAGAGGGTTTCCGCCAGATTGCTGAGATAATCGACGACTGGGTTGGAAAAGAACACCTTCGGCTGCGTGATATGGAGGCTGACCTTGAGCGTTTCATCCATGAGGATGAGGCAGTGCCTCCTACAGTGGGCTATGCCACGATGGACGGCGGCTCAGCACACACGACCCATTATCATTATTACGACAATAGCAACAACAACAACCCTACCCCGATGTGGCCCGTCTCTGAATGGCATCACGTCGATAACCAAGACTATCGAACTATCGAAGCCCCTCAGCCCTATAAAAGATATCCCAGCAACAATGATGAGTGGGAGTGGCATGATAGGGAAGGGTTCCCGGCCCACGACGCCTACGACATCCCTTTACGCCACCACTAACGGCCTCGCAAATATCAGTTTATCTATTTTATCTGTTTGCATGTTTGAAACGTTTGTTTTGTTCTCATTATTATTTTCATTCCAACTTGATGACTTGCATTTTCTTCTTATATCACTACTGGCGTGCGTTCCACGCGTACTTATCACGGCTGCACTTTTCCTTTGTCGCATGAAATATGAAAGAAAGAGAAAAATTTGACATGATGTAGACTTGGGAAAATATTTGGAGTTTTTTTGTCTTTTATGTATGTTTGTGTGGCATCGCTTATTTGTATTAAAAAGGTGTGAACGACTAGCATTGAATGATTTCTGTTTCAAGATGTTTTCTAGAGGTTGTTTTCTATTTACGTTTTTATACTGGATTTTTAGCCTCCAAGCATTTGGTCAGCACGGGATACTGCCACGATTCTATAATGGGGAGACGTTTAAGATAAATGTATAAGTATAATTAAATGAAGTTTTTTTCCAACTGTTATTCGCCGTGTCCGCTACGTTTGTTTCGTTTGAGCAGGGCTTGCATGTGGTTGACGCGTGACAACTTGCCGATTTGTTCGAGCCAAGTCGGTGAGACTGCACCAGGATTGAGCTAAAGAGAAGCAGGTGCTAATCTCAGTCTGGAATCGTTTTCCCTAATCCTGGGCTTGTAGCTGGGAGTCTTGCATGAGGGGGATCCATGATAGTCGACAGGTCATTTGCTCTTTTACGTCATGGCAAGTTGCGTTGAGAGCTTTGCTGACAATGGTGAATCGCCAACGGTCAAATGTAAAAAAAAGAGGCAAGACCCCTTTCTCGTTTATTCGGATCATTCTGTTGTCATTTTTTATATAATGCTATAAATATCATTTACTACCGTATGTGGGAATCTTTTTTTCCAACGCCAGTGCCGATACTATATTCTCGTGCACACGTGTATAGTGGTATATCAACATCCGCCCATCATTTAGAGGACCACGTATGTGTGGCCAAGCATTTGTATGTCTTGAATGTCTCCTCCACAAATAGACTGCCACGTTGATCTCTTCTTTTCGCTTTTTTTCTCTCTTCATCTCTCGACAGCGCGCGTAATGTAATATCTACGTGCATGCATATATATATGTGTGTAGGCTTTTATAGATGCTTAATTATTCGCAGTGCTTGTAGCTTTGTAACTGCTGTCGCCTCGGCGATTTTTGCCAAGGAGAGGGGATGATGCACTGGCCTCGTTGTCCGACGCATCTTCATAGTCGCTGATGGGGCTTTCGTCTCCGAGAACAATGGCGTTTTCCTCGTTCTCTTCATTGTCGCTGTTGTACGCTGATGCTGTGGGCCCATCACCCTCGACAATCATGAAGACGGGGATGGCGCCAATGGCGGCAACGATGCCCAGGAAGAAGTATGCGGAGACGATGTAGCCGTGCTCGACGCCCCAGGAGAAGGCAAGGCCGGTGGAGGCGGGTCCAAAGGCTCGGCCAAGGCCGCTGAACATGGTGGCGAATCCGTTGAGGGTGCCGAGAATGCTGAGCGATGTGGCGGAATTGGTCAGGAGGATGGTGGTGGAGGGGAAGGCGATGATGATGGCGAAGGCCTTGATCATCATGACGAAGAGAATGGCGGCGAAACGCGTTGCGGGCGTAGGAAGTAATGAAGTGTATGGGGTAGCGAAGTAGACGAACGGTGTCATGATAGCTGCCAACATGGTAAGTCAAACTGGTATAGATTCGTGATAGGTACTCGTTCCTTCGGTTGACTTACAAACTACTTTGAAACAGTTGAGAACGCCAAACCGGTTCACCATGGGAGGATAGATGAGAAATTGAATCAATCCACAGGTAATACCATAGATTGTGAAAAGCGTTCCGATGGTGCCTGAGCTAAGACCGAATCCACCGGTAAAGTAAAAGGGGAACTTTGTGTTCTCAGGAGTGCGAGGTATAACGGGATAATCGAGGAAAACGGTGATGTTTTGGTCGTACGCAACCGAATGAAAGGCCAAAAACGTATATGAGATGAGGTTGATTGTGGTCTGGCGAGAGAAGACCTCCTTCATGCCAGCAGAGACTCTCTTCGAGGTAGGCTTCTTGGGTGTGATTCTGCTTGGTACGAGCGGTGCCGTAGCCTCTCCATCGACGAATGACTGCCGGCGCTGAGCAATGAGCTGTGGCTGTCTGCGAAAGACGCGAGTGAGACGCTCTCCGACCAACAAGCCCCAGTCTTTTTCTCCGTGTTTATCGGCAAGCGTTTCCTTGAGGAAAAGCGTCGCGCTGCTAGCAGAGATGAGGAAGAAGATGGTGGCCAGGAGATTCGGTAGGAGATAGGGGAACTTCTTGAAGAGCTCGATGTCACCAAATACGTTGGGAAACTGCTTGGCTGGCTGGGCAAAAAATCCACCAAAGGCAGGACCGACGACTGAGCCAAGAGACCAGACGAGAGGCATGATGGAGAAGGCTCTTGGCTGGAGCTCTTTTTCCGTGACCATTTCAGCCACCATGGTCCTGATGATGCCGACTATATGAGACAACATGTCAGTCATTTAGTTTAATGCCCTAGAAGAGAATGGATTAAAGCCTACCGTTGCCGTTACCGCCACCCATAATTGCTCTTATGGTTATGGCCATGGTAAGACTCGTTGACATGCCCCATATTATGAAGCAGACCATTGTGCTGATAAGACCATAGATGAGCACTGGCTTTCTGCCAAATCTGTCGGACGCCTTGCCCCACGGAACGGCCGTAATGCTCTGGCAAATAGAAAATACGGAGGATGTGACGCCGGCCCATTTTGCTACCTCGTCTCGCTTGACGCCGAAGCCTCGAATCATTTCTGGCAGGTAAGGCCATACCGATGTGTATGCCAAAGGCTCTGCGAATCTAGCAACAGCTGCGGTCCAGATTGTTAGCACATGACGGATTCACCGCGGTTGAAACCGATCACTGTTTGGAATATTTGCCCTGGTCATCTAGATGGCGCTTTAAACAGTCTCTCCCCCATTTCACATCTTGCTGCATACTCTGGGAGAATATTGAAGCTTACCTAGAATTGCCAGCTGCTGCACGGGCAGCTTCGGTTTGGATGCGGAATCTCTCGTCATTGCGAATACCTTGTTGCGTTGCTATACAAAGGGTGCTTAAAACGAAAGAAATCCAAAAAAGAATGCTGTAAAAAGTTGGTGATGAACGGGAGTTCACACGCCTATGTTTTTTCCAAGAGTGGCAGATATAGAGACAGGTGAGTCGTCGTGCTAGAACATATCTCAACGCTAGATTAGAGCTCTCAACCAAGGCGTAAAGAAGTAAAACAAAAACAACGGATGATCGCCGCTGAGGGAAATGGCGAGGACCCGACGTTTAAAGCGAGTGAGACTGAGAGAGAGCGGGCGTGAAGAGGTTGAAGGCCGTGAAGAGGAAAATAAAAATGAAAAATCATTGGCGGCGAGAAAGTTTGTCAACGACACCACCCCAGCCTCTAAAGCGCCCAGGATAATTATCATCGGGTCCCACCCCGGCTAGTCAAGTCATCTGCACAGGCGGCCGATGCCACTAGCAGCCCAGGAGCGCCCTGTGGGTGGTGGAATGCGGCCAAGGATGGCAATGGGGAGCCCAGCTTCGGCTTCGGAGCCAGCCACTGGGCGCTTCGGAAACGCTACGACGGGAACGATTTTGTGCATGTGTGTTGGGGATGGCTTCGTCTGTGCTGCCGGTCTGCTCGAGCAGTCCCTTGCATGTCTTCATGTCTGTTCACACACTAATCACTACAATGTTAAGAAAAAGGAAGTATACGATGTATATGGATCAACAGAGAGCGATCATCACATAGAGACTCGGCGACTTATACACTGGGCCTACTGCATTACATACATGCTAGTCCCTCTCGCTCGGCTCCGTTTCCGTGCTGCAGGCGAGCCGAGATGCATTTCATCTTTCCTGCAACGGAGCGCGGCAGAGTCAGTGATTGGACTGGAGAACCAGAGCCGGCCAGACTTACCCGACGATCGCAAGCCCGCGATCCCACGCAGCTTTTTACAGAAATACGACGCAGAGACAGCCATAAAGGTTGGCCTTGTCCTTTGATTACTTGGATCCCATCGCTTTTTGTGATGGACGATCAAGTCTCATGACACTCGACTGCGTCCGACAGCGGAGACGGGCTCGGGCGGTAGCCGCGATGAAGAAGTTGGTGTGTGGGCGCTGTGTCTCAGTCAAGGGCTGAAGGGATGACGAAAATCCATTTGATGCTACCTAAGGTACCTACCAACCTGATCCCCGTATTACATACTACTCACTAGCAGACCGACTCTTTGCAGCTCTCGAGCCCTGACTTGGCGGGGACGACGCAATCATGCTCCCCGGAAGACGTGCTGCGACTCTGCCCCGCGTGCCCGTCACCGAGCGAATTAATGGCCCGCGTTGCCTGTTTCAGCAACACCGTCTGTCTCTGGAGTCTTTTGGCGGAGTTGAGCTGGCCGGGGGTGGTTGAAATGCTCGCTTCGCCATGGGCCGCTAACACGGAGTGGTAGTGCTAAAATATATAGTAGGTAGTAGTCGCCGCTTTTCACGCCCAGAGAGCGGGACAGGGGGTGGGCCATACTGAATGTGCTTGGTCGGCTGTTGAACGGCTGAAAGTGATGCTGCCTCGGTGTGCGGGGAGGGTAATTCTGGTATGAGACTGAAGTGTAAGAATTGAGACTAAGATGACGACAATATGCCCGTCGCATTCCCATGAAAGCTATATCATTATCCAGTGTCTAGTACATGTGTATGAGCTGTGGCTGCGTGTGGTGTGGCAGCGCCTGTCCCTTCTCTGGGGTCGCCGAAGAAACTGTCCTGCCGCTTCGGTACTTACATGGACTTTGTTAAGCTTTGCCATATACTGCTCGTGGAAACTCATTCGGATGTTTCTTCACCTTCTCCCTATTCTTCTCAGAATCTTGGGTTGGCCAATGGCAGGCTAGTGTTTCCTGGAGTTCCATCAATCGTTCAACTGGCTCTGTTGTATCGTCCTAGCTTTCCTGCGGGCCGCTCACTCGAATAAGAAGCACTTCAGAGCCAGCCGTGTGTATATGAGAAAAATTAGGGCACAAGTATACAATCATATGTTATCTATTGTCTCAAGATGGTATTTCGCACTTTTTTGAGCCATGAATTAGAGAAATCCAATTTCAGAGCATCCAAACCATTGATGAGCTGACAGTCCGATGTCCCCTATTCTGATGGATCGCCTCAAGCCACAAGTTGAGCTATGTGAGGTTCTAAACAGACAAGAGAGTGCAGAAATTCGAGAAACGTAACGATTCGCAATCATTCTTTGATACTTGCGCATCTAAGACAGATATATTCCAATGTCCATCCTGCGACTCCGAGCTACAATCCTTCGCTTAGTAAAGAGAAATTCTCGCGGTCTTAAATGTATACCTTGCGGGTGTCATGAACTCATTTGTCGCCAATATAATTTTGTAGCAAAGCGCTCGGTTGACAAGAGCCGGTATGAGCTGGCTACAGGATTTACCCCGTGCAATATAGCAATTGGTGTTGCCGTTCATCAAGCGTCGATTGCTTGGAATTTGACGATTTGGTAATGGTATTTTAAAGACGCCAAAAGGTCTACTTTTAACGACGAACGTAATGATTCGTAGATAATGAACGTACTTTACTCGCTGGCCGACCTGAAACCGTGACAATCAAGTAAATTGCTTGCTAGCAGAAAGAATAATAAAGCGCCGTAAGTCGTCAGAATCGCCGAAGCCAATCTGACTACCAATCTCAGCTTGGAGATCTTCTTTGCTGAACTTGGAAAGAACGCTATTCAGGCATGATTCTGAGGATAAAACGCCATTTCCAGCGTGGTTGAAGTCCGGTGAGTGACTCTTCATTGCAAAGCTCCAACGTTTCTCGTCACGCGCTAACCACGCGGCATGATTACAAGGCAGAGGCATGTTGAGTATGAGATCATCATTAAGCGCTTCGTAATATGGCGACAGCTTTCCCGTCTTGTGATCAAGATTACTGTAGAAATTGACCATGTTGGTGAAGAAGAATGTTCTCCTTGCTGTCTCAGTGATTCTCCAACGGGCCCATTGTGAGGTTGCTGCGGAACATGGACTTGAAATCGGATCTGAGAAGACGTTGATATCGTGATTGCGAATTTCTGGATATGACCGAAGATAGCTCTCCGTCATCTATAAAGCATGGAAAGTTAGATTTGTTCCGACTTGTGGAAAAAGGGTGCGGACAAAACCAAAACTTGCACTGGTTTGGAACTGCCATACTTTGAGAAGAAAAGGTGAACCCAGCCCTTTCACCGGTGGGGTCAATTTCCATCCTTCCGACTCATCACCAATAATTTCCCTCATATCCAAGAGCACAAAAATCAGCATCGAATGCAATGCGTCCCACTGCTGCATGCATTGGTAGGAAGGCTAGGCGCTCGATCAGTACGCTGTCAGCGTCCACTAGGTCTCAGAAGCACTTACAAAACTGCCAATCAGTCTCTCTCGAGCAGCATCCATGGCACGTCGGAAAAATCCCTTTTCGGACGAGAGGCTGATACTGCTGGCGCAGCAGATTGCCATGGAGGTGAGAGGGAGAATCGTCATGTCAGGGTTTGCGCTGCTGTATTGCGAGTAGAGTGACTGATGGAGGATGGGAGAAGAGAAGTCGTCCTTGGTTAGAAGGGAGGCATATTCGCTCAGTATATGCACTGCACCGAAGACAGCCGAGGATGATGGAGATTTTGCAGATGATCTCGTGCTATTGCTGGAAGATGACACAAGTGGTGTTGGAACTGGAATTCTCATTGGCATAGGTGACTGAGAGAGAGCCTGACTGGACGAGGAGAACTCAGGACTTCCATGGACGGATAGCCCTGTTTCTGTGGCATTTTGCCGTGGCATTAGTGATGAATTTGGTAAATCGGCCAAGGTCATATCGAAAGCCTCTAGAGGGTATGACGAGGGCGAAAAGTCCCAAGTGCCAAGTTCGAGGTCAAATGGCTGGCTCGAAGGTGTCAAAGATCCCGTCCTGGAAGAAGACGATTGAAGATTTGGATTGAGTATATCTGCCGCCTCGCTTCTTTGCTCAGAGTGGTCTGACGTCGATGCTGCTGGAGCTGTGGCATATATACACGGCGTTCCTCTCTTGGAACAGCGTGAGCAGGTAGGTTGAGTGTAGCAGCATTTCGCCTTTGCTTGAACGCAAGCGTCGCAAGCTTTGCGGCGGTTTACCACTTTCTTGGGGCCTTGACAGCGCCTACGATGGCGCATTAGCAGATCGCCTATGAATTTGTTAGCAATAGACAACAAGAGAATTGCAGGGTGCGCAGCAGAAGAGACGCACGTCGCCGGTAGGACTTTAAGCATCGTTCGCATGTCAGGATAGCTTCAACGGCACTATTATTGTCCAGAGCAGGAAGACTGATCATATCCATTGTTTGAAGCATCTTTGGAAGGACGAATTGGAATATGGTGGTTACTTATGGTGGGACGCTCGATTATTGCGGATTATTAATGGTACATGAAGTCTTTTGAGGTTTAGGTGTAGATGTAGATGCGTAACTAGGTAAAGCGCCCGATATCAATTCCGCTCTGGCCAGCAGGGAATGTTGTGAGAAACACGGTTTGGCTACAAAGTATGCTTAGTACAGTAGCCAGGCTCGGTCGAAGTATTCAGATTCTCGGCACCATCTCACAAGCAAGTGCTGTCAAGTGCTGAATTTCTCAGCCATTCTTCGATCAAATCTCTTTTGCTGGCCAGACTGATGATTACAGCTACATGTACTCTGTGGACTTACAGGATTGTAAGCCACGCAGTGTGAACGGAGAATTTCCGCCCCTGACAGTGGTGACGTTCAGGTCACATCCAGGTCTAGAGCACTCATGGGAACAAATAACCAACAGCGTCTTGCTCCTCTGACGTGCCTGCGGACAAAGCAATACGCTCCTTACCGAGATGATGCATGGCCAATACCGGATGGTTTACACGCTTCTTGTTTAAACGTGATGACAAATTGCATGATTAGGTATATGCTGCCTACACGTGACGACCATCTTGCTCCGAGATCCAGGCACAACAACTCCGGCGCTAAGTGGTCCCTTTTACAAAACCAGGGACTCGTTGTAGATTACATGTACCATCTGCTTAGCACGTCTACTGTAAAAGTGCCATCGTCGATTACATTTAGCTATTAGGTATATGTACATGTGTGCATGGCTACCTGCTGTCCAGCTGCATGCTACGGAACATGAACGTTGTCGAGCCCTTGATATTGGATCCACACAAATTGATTTGGGTTGGTTTGGACAATTACAGCGATACTGTGACTCTCGGGAGCGGCTGCTACCGTCGCTGCTCATCACTACTAGTATTTGTTTCCCGAACAAACGGTAAGATGTACTGCTGCACGCACGTCCCAACGGGACAAGGCCAGACGTCGCCAAAGAGCCTCTACGCCTGTGAGCCTATATAAAGATGGCTTTGATTGTCCCGCCCTTTGCCCCGAAAGCTGTAGACCCACTCCCGGGATCGCCCCACGAGCCGGAACGGAGGACACTGGACTGGCGCCTCGGAGGGATCTGGAGAGACGAGGAGTTGTTTGGTCGTGGCCTATAAACTCCAGAGGCTTATAACCTCGAATTGAATCTCTCTCAGTAATGCGTGAAGAATGGAAGAGGTAGGTACTTGAACTCATTTAAAAGGCTTGGTCTTTCGTATATTCCAACTCCAACAACCGCATCTTGCACCAAACCTGCCCACCATGATATCCTCGCCAGAAACTTCTAATATTGACCATCCCTCCCAAGTCCCTTCGAGCAACGGTGAGAACGCTCCTGAAGATGAATTTCATCTCGAAACATGAATTTTTGGCTGACAGACATTAGACATTGAGGCAAAAGAGCCGTCACAGGAAAATGTATATCCGGCAGACAATCTTTCAACGCCGCGACAGATTCTCTTCGTTGGAACTATCTGTACGGCCATGTTCACGAACCAGGTCGGCTTAGGAAACACCCTGACCACGGTCGGAGTAATTGGAGAATCTTTTGGGATTACTTCCCAGGGCCAGCTTTCCTGGCTGATTGCCGGCTACAGCTTGACGATTGGCACATTCATTCTCATCGGCGGACGTCTGGGAGATGAATTTGGCAACAAGAAACTGTTCGTCATCGGCATGGCCTGGTATTCCCTCTGGTCCATGGTGGCCGGGCTGGCAGTCTACTCGTCGCACGTTCTCTTCGTTTTCGCCCGTATATTCCAAGGCATGGGCCCGGCCATGACCTTGCCCAACGGCCTCGGCATCTTGGGCAAGTCGTATTCCCCCGGACCGCGCCTAAACATGTCATTCGCTTGGTTCGGCGGCTCGGCACCGTTCGGCGCCATTGCGGGTTTCTTGTTCGGAGGACTTTTTGCTTTGGCTTGGTGGCCGTGGATCTACTGGAGCCAGGCAATTGCGCTTGCGTGTGTGGCAGTCTTTGCTGCATGGGTGATTCCTCCTCAAGCAGTTCAGCCAAGAAAACAAGGACGGTCACTACGTGAGATCCTCCAAGATTTGGATGTTCTTGGAATGTTCACCGGTGTCACCGCTTTGGTCTTGTTCAACTTTGCATGGAACCAGGCTGTGGTCGTGACTTGGCACGAAGCATATGTCTATGTTTGCTTGATTCTTGGCGTTGTCTTTGCAGCAGCGTTTTTTTGCATCGAAATTTACTGGGCAAAGGCTCCAATCTTACCCCTGTCTGCATTCAATTCAGATATTGCGTTTGTGTTTGCATGTACAGCAACAGGATGGGCCTGCTTTGGTATCTGGGTATGGTACACTGTCCAATCTTGTCAAAGACTCTCAGCTAATTCTCCAATTAGGTCTTTTATATCGGTCTCGTCGCACTCAACATCGGTGGAAACACCCCTATTCAAATGGCAGCATGGTTTATTCCTGTCATTCCCTCTGGCTTGATCTCGGCCCTTGCTGTCGGTAAGTTAGTCGGCAAGATCCCCCCTTCGTGGATCATGGTTACGGGACAAATTGCATATCTCGTGGGATCAATTCTCGCAGCTACTCGGCCCCCGCATTCGAATTACTGGACGTATTACTTTTTCAGCGTCCTCATCATCACCGTTGGAATGGATACCTCTTTTCCTGCGGCTGCAATGATCTTTTCAGGCTCTGTTCCACAACAGTACCAGGGTATGGGCGCAAGTGTTGTCATGACGGTGGTCAACTACAGCATCTCACTTGGGCTGGGCTTTGCTGGCACTATTGAAAACAACATCAACCATGGCGGACTGACGCCAGAAGATAAGCTCAAAGGCTACCGTGGTGCACTATGGTTCTCAGTTGGCTTAGCAGGCCTCGGCGTGGTCCTTAGTCTTATCTATGAGCTGAAGACTCGCCTCAAAGACAAAGTCGCCAAGGAGTAGAGTCGCGATTCTTTTCACCTAGTCTTTGAATAATGTACGCACTTGATAGACGTTTTAACGGCGAAAAAGTAGCCGAAGCGGAGTTTACATTGGCTACCATAGTACACTCAGCGGGAAATTGTGGAGGTTTAGTCCAGCGCTCCATACATTAGGACACATTATAGATAGCTTCTCGCTTTAGACATGGAACGAATCCTATGAGACCCTCCGAACATTAAGCTCACTCTGCACAAGTTACTAAGCACTTGACGCATAAATCATCATAGCAGGGAGGAAAAATCTCATGTGGGCTCAAGAGAGAAAACAAACAAGAAAATATTCAAAAATAATATGTGCTGAATGAAAACATACAGGAAGTGACCATCCTCTGTCTTTCTTTAACTATGTGTCTAACTTGTATTTCTACAATGCGCTATATACTGTTCCCTGGGAGACAATCAAGTTCTGCTCGAGCCGTTGCGGCAAAGCGTATAGCAGCATAACCGTGGCCGAAAGCCAGCGTTTGCTCCTCTTCCTCGCAACACTGAGATATTCAGGTGGTCTTGTTGACCAAGATGATGTTCATAGGCACAATATGTGAAAAGTGCCTTTCCACTATATGTTATGAGCGCTAAAGGATTGCAGGCCACGTGTTGTTGCCTTCATGTCGGAGCGTGGTGGACGTTCGGAGATGGATGGACGTGCAAGCGGATCCCGACACTCTACACATCCGGCTTCAGTATGGAATCGAACACGTTGATTCTTGGTGCATTACTAATGAATAGAATCGATCATGACCGATTATAAATGCGAGCCTGCCTTGTAGTTCACAGCTCGTATAGGGATATCACAACATCCGGACTTGGGGACTGGAGCACACTACTATACCATTGTATATCAATGCGTCTGGCTGACACTGCAGCCTTCTGACAATTCGTATGTACATGTACTTTGGGCATCGACGAAATAACTTACCTATACTATAGTCTTCGCAAACTTCTTCATTGCTAGCCTCACACACCATCTTTTTACTTCTACAGAACCAAAAACAATATGGAATCCACTGCTACAACTGTCCCTCCTGGAGGTTTGGTACTTGTATCTGGAGTCAATGGCTTCATCGGCTCGCATATTGCTCTTAATCTTGTGAAGCTGGGATACAAGGTGCGCGGTACTGTCCGCTCGGAAGACAAGGCCGCCTGGATCAAAGAGGCCGTGGCTCACTACTATCCGTCTGCGAGATTTGAGACGGCCCTCGTCCCGGATGTGGCTGCTGTAGGAGCCTGGGACGAGGTTGTGAAGGGCGTTGACGGCATTGTCCATGTCGCAGGAGACATGAGCTTCGGAGCAGACCCCAACAAAACCCCAATGGTCAACAGCGTCAGGAATCTGCTGGAAACTGCCGCCAAAGAATCGTCCGTCAGGCGATTTGTCTTCACAAGCAGCAACCAAGCAGCGTTGAACCGAACTTTGGGCAAGGAGTTCACGGTCGACAAGACCGCGTTTAACGAGGTTGGCGTTGCAAGTGCTTGGCGCTCGCCTCCATATGAGCCAGATCGTATTTGGGATGTCTATTCTGCACTCAAGACACAAACAGAGCAGGAGGTCTGGAGATTCGCCCACGAAGAGAAGCCCAGATGCGTCATCAACTCCGTCTTGCCCTGCTTCGTCGTTGGTCCCATCATTCACCCCAAACAGCCAGGCAGCACAGGCAAGTGGGTGATGGATTTCTGGAGGGATCCTGGCCATTTCGCCCCTCTGCAAGGCTTCGGCGGCTCATATTTCATTGATGCAGACGATGCAGCGCTCCTGCATATTGCTGGCTTGGCCCAAGAAGATGTCAAGAATGAACGCTTGTTTGGTTTCGCGAGCACATTCAACTTCAACACCTGGGTCAGCGTTTTCCGTCAATTAGACCCGAGCAGATCCTGGCCTGCAGATGACCCCAATCAGCAGAACGATCTCAGCATAGTAGACGACGCAAGGGAATTGGAGCTGTTGAAGCGCTTCGGACGCAATGGTTGGACTAGCTTTCTCGACAGCGTGAAGAGGGCTACACAAGAAAGCCGCCAGTAATTGCATCTGCGGGAACGAGTGCATTCAAGGGGTAAGAAGCGAAGAAGACGACTAAATGATTCTGTGGAACTCGTGGTAAAGGTAAATTAGCCAAGATAGTACATGTACGCCTACCAAACCACAGATAGCGTCAACGGCGAGAATGCAGCCCACGTCACGGGTATAAATCAGAATCAAATGAAAATTGAATTTCCTTGATGTGCAGAAGAGACATTTACATACAGCAGGCGTTTTGTAAGGAATACCATGGTACGACGAATCTTGGGAATTGCAAAATTGACCCCTGCACGCTGGATGGGCAACTGGTAAAGTCAAGCATCGTGGTGCGGGAGCTGAATCGATCTTCAGCTGTTCCAGGACACGGCAAATGTAGCTGCTGTCCTCCTAGCCAGGCAGACGGCTGCCCGTCTTATCCCCGCGTGGCTATAGAGGCCTTAGCATCACGATCCCTGCAAGAATTGTTTCCTGGGGCGGCTGGATCGCTTCGCTCCCCTTGCGTTTTACCCAGAGAGGAAGAAGAGCTCCCCACATTTGGCTCCTCTGGTGGCTCCTCTGGTCCTCTTGCGTGCGGCAAAATCAGGCAGGAGAGCCAAAGAGCTCATAGCGCCTCGCAATAGCGTGACGTCGTTGCGTGCTCTCCGGAACCTTTGCGTCGACATGGCGATAAGATAGGCCAAAAGTGCCCCAGCAGTGATTTTGATAGGCCTATGAGGATATTGCAATGGTTGATGTAGGTATCACTATTTGCCGTGTAGACTGTGTGTACCAGGCATTATCCCCATTAGTAGCAGCTTGGCCGCAGCTTTGTAATATTGAGCCAGGGCGCGGATCATGGACGCGCAATTCGGCGTCGGAGTAATGCACAACGACAATCCCTCGCCCTTCTTTTTTACCTACTTCCTCTCTTTCCCTTTCTCTTCATTCTCTCTCACTATTCTATAGACGACGTCTGGGCTGAGCTCCAGATTGTAGAAACAATTCCCACCATGGGCAAGGTGTAAGTGCTGTCTCTGTCTTAGATGAGTCTCTGCCTGGCCACTGCTTCACACCCACCCAAATCCATTTTGGGTGGCGTAGCGAATCAAGGCAAAGACTTACGCAACACCTGCCCCGCGCATCGGGTGCGAGAACCACGAAGCAATCGATGAAATCAAACGAAGTCTGAGCTGGACTTTTATAGTAGCACATACTGACTTTGATGCTTCACAAGGTCGTCGACCAAGCCTGAAACAATGGCCAACGAGTCGACGCCGTTAATCCAGACAGTGCGCGTTGGGGCGCCGCGCCGGCGATATCCTCACAACACAGTTCGCCGCTTCTGCACCATTGCATGCGCCAGCGTGCTCCTCTGCGGCTTTGCGACGTTTCTTCTCAACGCCGTGTACATCTGGCCCTCTTGGCGAGACCATCACCACCCGCATCCGCCTCCTCACCACGGCCCTCCTCCGCCTCACCACGGTCATCACGGCCATCACGGCCATCACCCTCACAAGGGCAAACGCCTGTCTCACGAGGAGCTGCAAAAGATCTTGCTCGACACGCCCTCTTCAGAGAAAGCCGAAGAGTGGAGCCGCTACTACACCGCCGGAGCTCACCTTGCTGGTAAGAATTACTCACAGGTAGGTCAACCGAACTCATTGATTTTCATTCCTCATCCTTTTCCGCAAATGATGGCGATGTACAATACAACGAATACTGAAGCCTGCATCTCTAGGCTGAGTGGACTAAAGAGAGATGGGAGGAATGGGGCATCAAGTCCAGCATCGTCGCCTATGATGTCTACATCAACTACCCCTCCGATCACAGCGTCTCTTTGCTAGAGAAGTCGAGCGACTCCAAAACCTGGGATGTCGCGTTCAAGGCGTCACTCACCGAGGACGTTCTTGAAGATGATCCCACCACTTCTGCCAAGGACAAGATCCCAACCTTCCACGGCTACTCTGCCAGCGGAAACGTCACTGGCTCATTTGTCTATGTCAATTACGGAACATACCAAGATTACGCGGATCTAATTGCCGCCGGTATCGACTTCAAGGGAAAGATTGCCATCGCCAGATACGGTGGAATCTTCAGAGGCCTCAAAGTTAAGCGCGCCCAGGAGCTTGGCGCTGTCGGCGTTCTGATTTATAGCGACCCGGGCGATGATGGTGAAATTACCGAAGAAAACGGCTACGCGGCCTATCCCGAGGGACCGGCGCGGAACCCTAGCAGTGTGCAGCGTGGAAGTGTCCAGTTTTTGAGCTCGCGTCCTGGTGACCCGTAAGTAGTTGTTGGATTCTTCCGCTTGACTTGACTCAATTAACCTCAATGACAGGACGACACCTGGTTATCCTTCAAAGCCCGGTGTTCCTCGCGCACCAGCTGACGAAACCACTCCATCGATTCCCTCTATTCCCATCTCGTATGCTGATGCTCTCCCCCTTCTCAAGGCTCTCAATGGCCATGGCCCTCAAGCTAGTGACCTAAACAAGTATTGGACAAAGAACCTCGGCTTGGGCTACAAGGGCGTCAAGTACAATATTGGTCCTTCGCCTGATGACGTTGTCATCAACCTTTTCAACGAGCAAGAGTATGTCACTACTCCTCAGTGGGATGTTATCGGTATCATCAATGGCACAATCCCCAACGAAGTCGTTGTCATCGGTAACCACAGAGACGCTTGGATTGTCGGCGGAGCATCCGATCCCAACAGTGGCTCGGCAGTTTTGAACGAAGCCATTCGCAGTATCGGCAAGGCCTTGGAAGCAGGCTGGAAGCCTGTTCGAACCATCGTCTTCGCTAGCTGGGACGGAGAGGAGTATGGCCTGATTGGAAGCACAGAGTGGGTTGAAGAGTACCTTCCATGGCTCTCTGGCGCCAACGTGGCATATGTCAATGTCGATGGTGGTGCCTCTGGACCGGACTTTTCGGCATCTGCAGCGCCATTGTTGAACCAAGTTCTTCGAGACGCCACGCATCTTGTTCCATCGCCCGATCAATCTGTCCCAGGCCAGTCTGTGGGAGATGTTTGGGATGGAAAAATCAGCACAATGGGTAGTGGCAGCGATTTCACTGCCTTCCAGGACTACGCCGGTATCCCCAGTGTCGACATTGGATTTGGTGGTAACGGCAGTGGTCCTGTCTATCATTATCACAGCAACTACGACAGCTTCCATTGGATGAGCGAATATGCCGACCCAGGCTTTGTCTATCACAGGACTATGGCGCAAGTTCTTGGTATACTCATCGGAGAACTTACTGATGCAATCATCATTCCATTCGGAGCCACCGAGTATGCAGATGCGCTTGATGGCTACCTTGACAAGGTTGAGGCGAAGCTTCAGTCCGTGGATATCGAGCTTGCCACGGAAGCTGAAATCTTTGCAATTAGAGGCAGCGCCACATCGGAAGAAGTGGTCGGAAGCCAAGATGCCTTTGAAGAAAGCCTCAAGAAGATCAGACACTCAATCTCTGAGTTCAGAGACAAGGCCGTCAAGCTTGATGATAAGGCTGCCTGGGCAAGAGACAGGCTCGAAGATGGCATTCCGTGGTGGAACCTCTTCGAAAAGGCCAAGCTAGGATATACAATTGCCACAGTGAACAAGCAGTACAAGTTTATTGAGAGACACTTCCTCTTTGAGGGCGGTCTTGATAACCGCAGCTGGTTCAAGCATGTTGTGTTTGCTCCTGGTCTGTGGACTGGATATGCGGGTGGTAAGTTGTTCCCTTTGATATCTTCCTTTTTCTTTATATTTAGAATTTGACTCGGCGCTTTATGTAAACGGAACATGCTAACAAAATAACTGCAGCCGTGTATCCTGGCCTTGTTGAAAGCATTGATGCCAAAAACTATAGCAATGGTTTGAAATGGGCAGAGATTATCAACCACGCCGTTGAGAAGGCTACCAAGAGCATTGCGTAGATCTCGGCTCTCATCTACCTGCATCTTGTCTTTGTAAGATTCATCTGTTTTTAAATCTCTGTGCGGCCTTTGCCTGGAAAGAATAGACAGCAAATTGAAGTATTATCGTCTACAACACGGGCTCAGACAATAGGCTAGTTATGTCGATGGTCTTTTACCGAAATGTCACTACCTATTCTACGACTATATAGCACTGATCGTGAATGTATAAAACATGCTGCAGCAGATAAAAAGAGGGCTTATGCTTTGCTTAGAAAGAACAGTTCACAAGGGGCTTTTACCATGGCTTCATCTACCCATCAAATGTACCATTTACATGCGCCAGTTTCTTAGCTTCCGAGACTCTATTTTCTACCAATGGCAAGCAAGTCTATGCCTTCTTTCAGTTTTATCATACAAAGTCTTTCTCTAGGCTCTATCTTCGCCAGATCCATATACATATCGTTTAGAACTTGTAAACCTGCTCATTGGTGTAACCAAGCTCCTTCAAAAGTCCAGTAACATCGCCCTGCTCCTTGGGGCTAACCTTGGGGCCAGAAACGGCCTTCATCAAGCCAGGAGGACCGCAAACAAAGAGCTTGATGTTGTCGCTCTTGGGCTCGGGGAGGACCTGCTTCAGCAGCTCCTTGGAGATGAAGCCGCCGCCGCCGACCCAGTCCTTGGGGGGCTTGTCCAGGACGTAGAATGCGCGGAAGCGCTGGGGGTATGTGTTCTCGAGCTCGTCAAACTTGCTCTTGAGCAGGATGTCCTCCTTGGTGACGTTTCCGAAGATGAGGGTGACCTTGGTCTTGTCGTTGGGGTTCTTGAAGATTGCGCGGACGAGCTGGTACATCGGGGTGATGCCGGTGCCGCCGGCGATGAGGGCGATGTGGTCGTGCTTGTTCGCGGTCCAGGGGTACTTGGGCAGAGGGCCCTTGATGTCGAGGGAATCGCCGACCTTGAGATCGTGGATGTGGGTGCTCATGGGGCCGTTGGGATATTTCTTCACCAGAAGGTCGAGGAAGCCCCTCTCGTCTTAAAAAGCGGCATTACTGTCAGCAATTCCTGTCGTACGTATGTATATATGCCAATACTATAACTCACCTTCGTCACTGACGGGAGTATAAGGTCGGAGAGTCGCCTTCGCATCGTTGGGGCCCTTGAACTTGGTGAGGATAGCGCTGGCAACGTTCACGCCAGAGACCTGGTCCTTCTCGGGGAGCTCGAATCGGAGTCTCTTGGTGTTGTGGTTCACATCCTCCGTCTCGGACAGCTTCAGGGACACCCAGCCCTGTTCGCCGCCAGTGAGAGCCGCCTTGGGAGCGATGCCAATGGCCTCCTTGACCTTGTCCTCGGCCTTGCTGGCTGAGGAAGAGCCGCTGAGGAAGTAGTATCCAGCACCGAGGACGCCGACTGCGCCAGCACCGTAGAGGAGGGTGTTGGAGCTGCCCGCGGCGCCGGATTCGGTGGCATAGCGGCGCGCATGCTGTAAGGGAGGAAGTGAATCAGAATTAGCTCGTCCGCGGCGTCATTTTTGCATTTCGCTTGGCTGGAAGCCTAATTTGGCTGTTTTTAGCATTGAACTTTGACATACCATCTTGAGCGGCTGGGCCGCACGGAAGGCTGATCTGGCAAACATTTTTGTCTTTTGGGGGGGTTCCTCGCCGCAATTGAGGGTATCGTAGATTGCAATTGGTCCCAGAAAGAGGAGTTTAGGAACTCTGGAGATAAAGAGAGCCTGTACACAGTCTCTGTCAGCGCGCTCGGTGCTTAGTGGTTTCCCGAGCTTTTGTCGATGAATGACGGCATCCGCCACGTGATTGGCCGATTGTCGCTATCCACTCTTCCTACCTTGTCCAGATCGTTTTCTTGGTTTGGCATCTAGAGGATTGTTCCACTCGGGTTTAACCCAGCGCTAGATTGGTAATTATGCTCCGAATTGTCGTAATGTGCTCCGTAATATCTATCAGCCATTTCGCAATTCGAAAAACCCCTGTCTCTCTTCACTGCAGGACTGTCTCAACTCTCTGGTGATGACTGCGGGGTAATTCTGATACGATTCTGTTTACTTGTATACAAGCCAGGAGTACGGATGTAGAGGCTTGCAAATGCTCGTTCAAAGAGTCGTTTACAAAGATCTTTATTAAATCAGAGATAAGCGGCAACTGAATCAGTAATCAGTTTAATTTCATTGTGACGTTGCGTTGATTTTTCCAGCACGTGTTTATAAAAGGCCAATATGCTCTACTAATGCGCAACTTTTGCAGTGAGAGTGATGGAGGGGTATATGAGCGATAATATGTACCCATCAATAAGAGTATCATATGTGCGACAACAATAGAGTATTAGAAAGCTGGCGCATGCTTCTCTTGACCAGTAGTTAAAACAAATGCTGTCTATGTGAATATTTTCAGGAATGTGTTGTAGCGGGGAGTAAGGGATGCTTAAGTTTGAAAAAGGTCCCGCAGAGCTTGCCTTCACTGGGCTGAAGAAGAATCACGTGTAATCAGGTCAATATTTACAGATTTTCGAAGTTCATTGCAATGGCTGAGTTAAAAAATTCGGTTTATCATTCCTTGGGAGGCTGCTACTAAAACCATTACATACATCTGCGGTGCGTCTTTTTGATCAAGTCTCAATCGCAGCAAAAGAACAAACCATCATCATCCCAGTAGCTGCGGAGTAATTTACCGCCACAGCCAGAAAAGCTATATGGAGATTAGTAGTTATTGCCTTGGTTTAGAGATGAAATGATAGACTACGAAGTGTAAGAGCATTCTTCGATTCTACTATGAAAGTACCTATGCAAGTATAGACATCGAAGTATATTCCTGCTCCTTACTACCAGAACCGCTGTTGGGGAAGATAACTCAATCCTTTTACCAGTTTCGGCATCTCGATCCAGTATCCCTGAATTGTCTCTTTACGGGCTCTTGAAGATGTTCCCATGAATACCGATAGCAAGAAGGTATCAGTTCGTGATACCGTTCTATATACGCGCAGCTGCGCTCTCGTATTACTAGGTAGGTAGTTAGGATTGAAGAATGCCGCACAACCGGATAGAGAGTACTTGACATTGTTTTAAGGTACATATTTAAGCATTTATACTTTTCTTTAGCGCAATGAAATGTCCCTGTTTCACACAAGCTCTATCTTGTATCTCACTCTTTAGAACAACCCCCCCTTCGCTAATTACAAAATCAACTCGACAATTACAGAACTTTCAATAATTTCCTCCCGTCCGTATCCCGCCTCGTATCTTTCCGCATCTGGCCCGTGCTTTTTAACCGTTTACACTCCCCCATGTCAGCTAGCCTCCCGTGTCCCTGCAACGTCCCTCCCGCCCGTCCGCCGTGACCCGCAGGCTTAAGCTTTGTCTAAAAATGAGCGGCAAAGCGATAGAAACATGACTTTGTGATATGAGACTGAAGCTAGAATAGAGCTACTGGACGATGTGCACAGCGGAAAAGGACCGTGTGGCAGAGTTTAGGTTTGTAATGGAGAGAACACGGGACGGAATCGCGGCAGCCGGGTCGAAGGTTAACTACAGTAGCAACATACTTCAATTCCTACGATATTATCCGATCATATGATGTGTTACCTGCAGGTTGAGAAGAAAAGGTGCAAAAGATTTCTGCTTAATTCCAACACAGTCTCCAATATAAAAATTGCCGGCTAATCGAAGAGGATAAGATTTGACCGCAGCGTATTCGTTACCTACCGGTTAAAGGCTAGACGTCTAAGTACTCAAATAGGCATACCATCTGATCAGCTAATACTGCCAAGTCGAGCATGGAAGGGACATGGTAGAAGCAAAAGTGGCGATAAGTTGGTATTGATGCTGCACAGACTACCAATAAGCCTATTGGCATATTTTAGACATTTCAAGACGAGGACCATGTACCTTTGTCTCTCCTTCTTCAAACATTACTCATACTATCTAGTATGCCTTGCTAAGATCACATGACTTATTGGAGATGCGTGAATGCTTACATGGGTGCTAGTAAGGCTGCGACGAGTGGGCCGAATATTCCTGTGAAGCTTCATGTTATGTCATTTCCAGCACTGCCCGTATGTAATGCGCATAACCTTCATTACATCAATCAGATCAATTGAAAATAACCCTGAAACTTCTTATTCCTTCTGAATGCAAGGTAAAACGATGTTTCCTAGGTACATATTCGTTGCACCTGCGACACCATAAACCAACAGTCATAGCCACCAGGGGGGGACTTTTTCTCCTATGGCTTAGACAAAACGGTTGTTTGCTGACATTGCGTTGATCTTTGGTCGTCATATTATGACCTACTCGAAACGACGGCCTCAGGGAGCAAAGCAGCCGAATCATTGGTTATTTTTTCAGGAACGCCTGCAGCCGCAATCTCCGCGAGGGCCCAGGATATACCAACAGGCCTGTGGCGGCCGACCTATGAGACCACGCGACCGATATGTCGAAACAGTAGGCATAGGGCAGAAGGATTTTAGTTATGTGAAATCCAGTCCCAGGTATTGGTGGCTGTGAAATTGGGGCCGGATGGGGTCTGCGGCCGCATATGCGGCCTGGCTGTGTTAGTCGACCAATCGCGACCAAAAATCGACTACATCTCACGAGGCAGACAGACTGCAGACAACAGATGACGACAAAAGAACGAGTTAGGAGGGACGGGGGGCAGAAAGAGTAAAATAGACACCGCTGTTAGAATTGGTATGATGCTATAGCTATGTAGTATACATGTAGAAGAGTCGAGGCTATTGGAAATAGCAGAGCCTCCTCGCAGTTCCACCACATCAATCATCGCTCTATACTCCAATGACTATGTACATGCGCTATCATACATCTAACTCAAGAGTCGCTTGCTTGCTTCCTCCCCATGATCGAGATCATATGAAAAGAGTAGTAGAAAAACAGAAGAGATAGATAGAAAATGAAAATGAAAAAATAAAAAGAGAAAAAAGAAACAAGAACAGGGTCATAAAAAGGAATGATAAAGAAAAGAAAACTAAGAAAAGTGACATGATGATGGCTGAAAAGAAAAGGATAAAAACCACAAGAAATAGCGTGAACAACCCTCTTGCGAGAGATCAATTCAACATCGATGGGTAGATCCAAAGGCTAATGACTAGGACTCTCAGGACTCTGTCTATAATGTAACAGGAGATTAAGGAAAGTGAAGAAGAGGAGAAGAGAAGGAAGAAGAAAAAGAGAAGAAGAAAAGAAAAGACAAAGAAAAGAAAAAGAAAAGAAAGAGTATTGTGTACAGCAGGCCTTGAGGCCTACGCTCGGTGTGAGACTCTTCTCAGTTCTGTTAGAGAAAACCTCAACGGCCTGGGTTGGGGCACACAGCGCGCCTGCAGTATCCCTCCCATGTTTGGGTTCCCTGGTCCACGACATTGGAGCAGCCGCAAGTGGGTTTGCGTTCACTCTCTGTGACTACGCAGCCACAGTAGGTGTAGTGCTGTCGAATGACCCAGACGCACATGTTGACGGTATCGGAGAGAGGATAGAGCTAGGAAGCTGCAGGATGGAGTTGGCTCGCTAGAGAGGAAGCGTTGTGTTAGTATATCTCGTGCTCTGTCAAGCTTTATAGGATGGCTCATGCATACAAAGTTGCGCTCTTTGACACCCTTGGTGTTAAGCAGTCAAGCGTTTTGTGGCTTTGGTATAAACACCTCGGACTCTGGAGAGACGATCCGTTCGAAGAGCTGAAACTGTTGACAAGTAAAGAAAGCTGGTCTATGTGCAGGCTTTTGTCGAATGTTGCTGATGGCTGCTAAAGCTGGATGAAGCTTGTGATGAGATATCGAGAAACGAAGCAGGTATGCTCGTCGTTTATATAACCTGTGGAATCAAAGATAAAAGCCTCGGGTCCTGCGTAGAGGCTGTGAATTGGCATTGTTTGCTCAAGTTGGTGTTCGTCCTCGCCCAAGCATAAAGTCCCCCTTCAGGCACCCTTGAGGCAGATTACACACACCAAGACGTCAACTGATGTGCAATGTATCGTTGTTGGTTGTTTGCTTTCCTCTATTTCGGGACTTGCCAGACGCATGTACACTGCCGTTAGATGCACATCAGGACGAACCCGGGAAGAACAGCAGGTCGGGGAGCCGACACAGATTATGTTGTTAGTCGACGCCAATGGGTGCTCGTATACGCGGCCGTTGGTTGATGGTGTGCCGCCGAGCTGTGTTAGACGCAGTCGTGTCTGCTCTGTGGCAGGCGCGAGGATTCAATCTGTCTGCCTTCTGGCCTGTTCTCTCGCCAAGGGGCATTTTTTCCTATTCCGCGAGACGGGGGCAGGAGGCAGTGTGGCGAGATGAAATAGCTTTGACCTCTGGGCCTTGGGCCGACCTGGAGGAATGAATAGGCATCGCAGCATCGGCAGTTTGCGCACAAGGCCATGCCAAAGGATGTCTGCGCGGCCCCCCAGTTGTGGGCGTACCCGGTCGGCAAGGCCTCAAAAGAAGGTCAGAACCAACAACACTTCCACGCCTGGCCCCCTGTCCATGTCCATCCATGTATGTGTGTCTGTATGTACTCATGTACATGTATGGATGCATGCATAGAGACTTGTATGCAGTGTCTACACCCATGTAGCTAGAGAGCAGCAGGCATTTGGTCGAAGGATCTTTCGCATCTCT